AACTTAGCCAGCTTGTCACACAATTTTAGTTTAGTAATAATCTAGTCAGCAAGCAAAACAAAAGCAGAAATAACACAAACACTTCCTCAGGTACAACTTCTGACATATGTTTTTTAACCACTCCTTCCAGTTTGCTGTCTCCAACGTAGGTTACTCTGGATCTTGCACAATATGTTTTGCACATGTCAGAAGGTGTTTCTTCCTGAATCTGTTCCACCTCTCATTCCATCTGTTAAAGTAAAGAATTCCACAAGTAGGAAACTCATGTCAGCATAATAATAATAATAATAATCCTTACATTTGATACCATGCCTTTCACATCAGGGGATATCTCAAAGCGCTTCACAGGATTTTTATAATAAATTGTAGGTGGACGCACCAGCCAATTTATACACAGCAATGCCCCACAATAATAATAATAACCCTTGGATTTGATACAGTGCCTTATCACATCTTCGAAACGTTTCAAAGCTCTTCACAGAATATACTGTAAAGTGAATTGACTGTATTTTTTGTGGGTGAAATGCGGCAGCCAATTGCTCACAACATTGTCCCAAAAACAGTCATGGATTGAGTGACCAATTTATTATTATTATTTTTTTTGAAGGAATTATTACCCCCGGAAAAGAGATCTGCCAATCGACTAACAACTGGGTTCCTACTTACTGCTAGGTAAACAGAGGCATATGGAGTAAGGAAACTTGCCCAACATTTTGCCCTGCCGGGACTCGAACTCAGGTCTCTCGCTTGCGAGACGAGTGCTCTAACCACTGAGCTACAGGACTCCACAATACCTTGTATATTGTTCTACTTAATCTTTTTTTCTGCATAGATTGGTTGCAAAATGTTAACACTGAAGATATTGAAAATGATAAACAGCAGGAGATTTTCATGCGTCCAGGACATGTCACCCAAGGGCAATGTCTCTGGACTGATCTGTAACATAAATCTTGTATGGATATCATCCTGACAATCAGACAATAGCTGATATGTATCTCCAAGTGCAGTCCTTCAGCCAGGAGCCAACATAACCTGTGGCACTCAAGCTGTTCCCGTGTTATTTTTTGGCACATGCAGCTTTCTGATAGGAACTAGTAATGTATCTGAAATATGCCATTCCTCCAATATCCAAACGTGTCAGTCAAATTATTGCTGTCATGGTCAGTGCACCACATCTGCTTTCCAGAATCTCAGCCATAGTAACAGCAGGTCAAATAGAAGTTTCCGGTGGTGACTCAAATCCCCACTATCCCGGTAACATGAAAATTAATGTGGTGGGGTATGTGTATAGATGGGTGGGGCACAGTCTAGAAATAGAACGTTTACTGAACCCAGAAAAGTTGTCACACAGTGAATATCCTAAGTCTCATGTTGGCCACTCTGCCAAATTCTCCAGTGCTTGAGATGACTCGTGTACTTTGCTAAATGATGGCAGATGCACCTCATTGGAACTATATCAAAGGAAACTAGGTTGCGGGTGGAGGGACTGTGGGTATGCCTTGTAGATTTGGCTGTTGACTCCTTCAGTGAACCAGAGCTAGATTATATACTGTACAATGACACTCCAAAAGTCCCTATCCTCTTAAAAACGATATTTCTGATCATTTGGAACACAAACCAGAGAACGTATATACTGTAATCATTTTCCTGCACACTCAACATTGCTTTCTGAAGTTAAGCCTCCAGTTACAGTAAAAATAAAATATTCCTGATGCTGACACTGTCCAGTCATGTAGTGTCAAGGCAGATCACAAACGTCAGAGAGCAGTTCATTCTGAACAAGTTTAGCTGATCTAAGTATAATAGTCCTTGCATTTCCTTGTATTTGATATAGCTCCTTATCAAGTCATTGAGATGTCTCAAAATACTTCACAGAACATATTGTAAAACTACTGTGGAGTCCTGTAGCTCAGTGGTTAGATCACGCGCCTTGCAAGCGAGACACCTGGGTTCAATTCCAGACAGGGTGAAACCATGGGCAAGTTTCCTTACTCCACATGCCTAATAATAATTCCTCCAAAACAATAATAAACTGGTCATTTTCAATCTAGAACTGTTTGTGGGACACTGCTGTGCGCAATTGGCTGCCGCGTTTCGCCCACAAATATACGGTCAATTCACTTTAGTCTATTCTGTGAAGCGCTTTGAGACGTTGAGAAGACGTGAAAAGCGTTATATCAAATGCAAGGATTATTATTACATAAAACAATTTGATTGTATAATTTTGTGTGTGAGAGTGCGCTGAGAAAGGGAGGGGAGGGGAAAGATGGCTAACTGCACTGTCAAAGAGACAAGTCTTAGGTCGATTTTGAAGGCAGGGAGGGAGGGGGCAAGGTGAAGGGAATGGAGTTTTTGAAAGCGTGGCGCAGAATGGCTGAAGGCTTGTCTAGTGATGGAGGGGCAGAGTGGCTGGGGGCTGTTGGTGGCTGTGTGGAAGGCATACCTTCGGTAGTAAGATCACAGGAGGAGCAAAACAGGAGATCTTGTTGATATGGAACTGTGGAATGTTAGAGCTCATCCATGATTAGATGTTTTATAGGCAGTCGGCCAAAACAGCCCATGGTCCTGGAAACAGAACCTGTTTAGGAATAACCCAATTTTTAACCCAATATCTTGAAAATCTTTTATGGATTGAGTAAAGTGAAGCATATCACCCCACCCACATGTCATGTTTACACATACGTAATGCATTCTTGCACTCCAAAGGGCCACAGTGACCCTTTTCCAAATAGCACAGAAAATATTTCAAGTAAGCACAAAACTATTTGTATTGTAAACTGATTAAAAATTAACTGAATCTGTACTCTAAGTGCAATTTGTAACTTTAATGATGGATAAGGAACACGTGGCACAGTTTAAAGCGCTTAAGCATTGCAGAATAAATCATTGCAACATCAAAGTCTAAAAATATGACCAGTATGTGATCCTGCAGACTATTACCTCGAGAAGGATAAATTGAAACATTATGAAGCCCAGATTGCGATAGCACCCTTTACATTTTGGTTTAGATTGATTTCACACAACACAGAGTTAGGTGTTTTCCTACGACTAACTACCTAATTTTGGTGTACTTGGTGTTCACTCAAATCTTTTATTTCCACTTCTGCTAATACCACACACATTCCTTCTGCACACATACCTTTTCTGTCCTGTTCTGATATGCAATTAATGTGAACAATCCCATGCCAATATTTGAAAAGAGAAAAGACTTTCTTCTGGTGACCTACTTCCAGATTATTTGGTCATTGAACTGATGGCTATTTGTAGGACCTTACTGGTGATAGTTCCTAGAAAAACAGTTATTACACTTGACAATAATTACCGCATAGTGCTTTTGATAAAGATATAAAATAATAATATTGTATGTGATATAGTGTCTTCTTTTTCGACTGTACCTTTGGTCATCTACCCTCCTCCACCCACCTTCCCTTCCATTCCTTTCAGATTCCAACCCGCAGCGTGGGTGCAAACCCCTCATTGTGGAGTCCTGAAGGTTAGTATGGAGTCCTGTAGCTCAGTGGTTAGAACACTTGCCTCGCAAGCGAGATGACCTGGGTTCGATTGTTGGGCATGGCGAAACAATGGGCAAGTTTCCTTACGCCATACACCTCTGTTCACCTCGCAGTAAGTAGGAACCCAGTTGTCTAGTCATTTAGTGATCGCTTTTCCTGGGGTAATAATTCCTTAAAAAAAATAAGAAGAAATTGGTCACTCAATCCACGACTGTTTGTAGAACACTGCTGTGATCAATTGGCTGCTGCATTTCGCCCACCAAGTATACAGTCAATTCACTTTACAGCATATTCTGTGAAGCGCTTTGAGACGCCTTGAAGACGTGATAAGGCGCTATATCAAATGCAACGATTGCTATTATTATCAAACTGAGATCCCGTCTCCCTGTTCAGGTGGATGTAAACTTTCTGACCAACAGTCTCTCAGATGAAATTTGTCATTCCTTGAACGACCGTCCCTGGGACATTGCAGTGCTCAAATTGGTTGCCTCTTTCACCCGCAACGTTTATAGTCAGCCCTGCAACAGTGAAATCCTGTGAAGCGCTTTGAGACATTGCGACGACGTGCTGAGGCACAATAGATGAAATGCGATCATCACTATTATTAGTTTTGTACTACTATTACTCTATGTTTCGTCCACAAAACATACAGTCAATTCATTTTACAGTATATTCTGTGAAGCGCTTGGAGACGTCGCGAAGACGTGAAGACGTGGAGTCCTGTAGCTCAGTGATTAGCGCACTCGCTTTGCAAGCGAGAGACCTGAGTTCAATTCCAGGCAGAGGGTGAAACCTTGGGCAAGTTTCCTTACTCCACACAGAGCCTAATAATAATCCCTCCAAAAAAAACCAATAATAAATTGGTCATTTTCAATCTACGACTGTTTGTGGGACATTGCTGTGCGCAATTGGCTGCCGTGTTCGCCCACAAATATACAGTCACTTCACTTTACAGTGTGTTCTGTGAAGCGCTTTGGGACGTCCTCCCGACGTGAAAAGCGCTATATCAAATGCAAGGATTATTATTATTATTATTATTAAGGCGCCATATCAAATGCCAGGATTGTTACATTATACCGTGTATTGCCTTGCGTGGCATTGCAAGTGGTTTTGATGTTTTTTTTGCTGTGTTTCTTGTCACAAGCTCAGTTGGGAATTCTCAGTGAAACCCCCCCCCCCCACAACCGCAAAAAAAATTATCCCCGTCTCTTAACAGAGGGGGCGCTGTGCGGACAAGTAAACCACACACACACACACACACGCAGAGCACAGGGGAGAGGTGAGAGAAGCGCGGCCAACCCCCACGTCACGTGACAAGGGAGGGGAAGCAGTGACCCTTTGCGCATGCGACGTACGGCAAGCAGACGGGGTCAGCGTGGGATTTACGGGAGTGACTTTTTTTTTCCTCCCATTGAATCGTTCCCGGCCTCGGCCTCGGTCTCGCCCCCCCCCCCCCACACCCCCCACCTCCCCTCCCCCTCCTCCTCTCTCGTTGGATCCGGGTGTTTTCCGATCGCGAGCCCCGAGCGCTTCGGTTGGATCCCGGTCCCCAGGTCAGTGCGAGCGGCGGCTTCTCTCTCTCTCTCTCTCTCTCCAGCCCCCCCTCCCCGGGTAATGTAACGTGCGCTCCCCCTCCCCTCCCCCGAGGGAAGGGAAAGGAAGGGGGTGTCCGGGGCCGAGAGCGGGAGGAAGGCCTGGGTTTTTTTTTGGGGGGGGCCTCGGGAAATCTGCACGGCCTCGGCCTCTCTGTCCGGGTCGGGGGAGGACGCGGCCTAGCGCTCAGGCTGCGCGCTGCCTCCCGACTCCCAAACCGCCCCGAGGTGTTTTTTTTTGGGGGGGGAGGGAGGGGGGGGATTTACCTCCCAGGAGCGGGTCGGTCGGTCTCCCGGGGGTAGAGAGAGAGGGAGGGAGGGAGGGAAGGAGATGAGCCTCAGGGCGGGGGCGGGGCGGGGGGAGGGGGGGTTGTGGTGTGGTTACCCCGGGGACCAGGCGGCTGGGGCCCCGCTGCGCCGCGGGCGGGGGGGGGGGCGGGGGGGGGAAGGGGTGGGGAATTGTTCCAGTAAAACAATCCTGTTCATCACATGCACAGAGTGCCCGACCGTCTGCCGCGGGGCTCGGGATTCAGGCCCAGTCCCCGCAGCTCTCCCTCTCCCCCCCCCACTCTTCCCCCCCTCTCCCCCTCCCCCCCCTCTCCCCCTCTCCCCTCCCCCCCCTCTCCCCCTCCCCCCTCTCCCCTCCCCCCCCTCTTCCCCAGATTATCGGCTGCCGTCGTTCACCTCGGCCACGGATTGCTCCTGGGATCCAGGGTCAGGAAGAGTGGTTTGATGTCTCTGGGGTTTTGCCCCCCCTCTCCCCCCCCACCCCCTCTCCCTCCCCCCATTGGGCTTTACCCCCAGTTTCGTCTTCCACTTGCAGATTTTTTTGAGGGAGTTTTTTTTATTCTCTTCCCCCCCCCCCCCCACACACACACACACCAGATTTTTTTTGTGGGGAAAATCTATATTTTTTCCCCCCCCCAACATCTCTCTCTCTCCCCTCCACCCCTCCCCCTCCCCCCACCTCCAGACGCTCCTTCCGACTCGCCCTTCTGCCAACGTCGCTGCATGACTGCAAGTTGTCCTGAAAGGCTTTTGGTGAACTTCCCTTGGAATGCACTTGAGCAATGGGCATTGTACCCCGTGGGGGAAACAACAGTTTCTCCCCCTCCCGACCTCCGCCGAGCGGTACCAGGCTACGGTTGTGCCACAAACTGAATGGATTTTCCTTTTGTCCTGCCTCGCGACCAAACTTTGGTGATTCGGAATGTGCTGCCTTGGCGGGGGGGGGGGTGGGGGGAGGGTGGGGAAGACACCGGAGCTGCTCTGGTTCATCACAAAAGTGCATCGTTAACCAATTCTGCATCCTGGGAACTTGATTAACTACGTTATTTTCGGATTTGGTTCATTGTGACCTAACTGCTGAGAAATGAATTTTGGCGCGCCTTGGGAAAAATAAGCAAATTCATTGAGCGAACGGAACTTTACACGATCAAGCAACTTTAAAAAGCATGACATTTGTGTAGCGCCTTTCACGTCGGGAGGACGTTTTTCTGCGAAAGCATTATGCGTGCTGCAATGATATCATAGAACCCTACATCAATGTGTTTTTGTCACCTGTTCATGTCGTCGTGTAGTTTTTGCAACAGAGCAAATGTAAACGTTGTGCAATCTTATATTCTCGGGATCAGTACATCTAGATCTACTCAACCTTTTACTGTTGAGAAAATGAGTACCTTGCATAAAATATCTTCTTGGGGAAGGAGACGTAAGCAAGAGTTTGAAGGATTGCAGAAATCCAAGACACTGTTGATGCTTCCAGCCTATCTGGCTCATCAGTGAGTCTTGGAACCTGTGACTATGCCCAAAGCTGGAGAAATACTGATTTGCATTTTTGTAAAGCCATTTTTGCAAATCAGTGTTGCTTCATAAAACAGAATTGGATAATATTGATCGTACAAATAATTTTTTTTAATGTTTTTTTCCCCTCCACAAAGCTGAATTCCCGATCTCGTCCACCCCACTGTAAGGAAGGGACAAGCAGGTTAGTGATTACTAATTTTGAGCTATCATGATTTAAATAAGGTATATTTACTAGATTGTTTCATTCCAACAGAGGACGGGAGAAGAAATTGTTATGGATTTTTTTGAAAGAATACTTAAACAATGATTTTTTTAAAAGAGAAAAAAAATGGTCAACTTGAAGTCAGAGCCATTGAGAGAGGATAACAGAGCTGAAGTACTAGGGCGGGAGAGTAATGGGAGCTGGGTGTGGAAATGAGTCGGTGACAGTAACAGTATCCTTTTGCTTTCTTTTGCTAAAGAGTAGAGTTGAGCTAGCTACTTGCTTTAATGAATGAGATGGTTTACAGAATGGGAGTGGTTATAATAGCAGAGCTGTCACTCGGCCCTACCTAGCTGGAAATCAAGATATTACTAATAGTTGTCAGCAAAAAAAATCCCTTAAACTCCCTAACCTTTGGTATTTAAACCATTTGGGGACTTTTTTGGTGTTGAGGCAGGTAGCAAAAACCATCAAACGTGCAGCTACAGAGCACGTTTGATGGTTTTTGCTACCTGCCTCAACACCAAAAAAGTCCCCAAATGGTTTAAAACTGTAGTGATGAATTCTCTTAATATATATTCCAAAAATCTTGTATGAGGTTACAGGGCAGTAATCTCATTCTGTGATTCAGATAACTACTCATTTCATTTTCAAATGATGTTTCAACTGGTTGATGGTATCACTGTCTTGTATCCCCAATATCTGCTTAGCACACAATGTGTCCTGAACTTCCTGGTGATCAACTTTTATCTTATTTCCCTGTTGAACCTGCAGTACTCGCATGGTGACGCTTGGGTAGATGTAGATGTGGACTTGCAGACATGGAGTGCTTCTACATGTGCAATCTGTTCTTTTAGAGGCAACTGGCAGCAGATAATTTTATCTTAAAGCAGACTTCAAAGCACATCTGAATAATGGGAGCAATTTTAAGATACCAGCGCTCAGGAATTTCATCTCCACATTCAGATGATTGTAAACCACTCGAGCTTTATCCTCTCCTAGTTTGTGATGCCATCTAAATTTCTCGATTGGATTATTCGCTTATAGTTGTTCTCAGTTCGCCTCATTCTTGATTGTGTTGAGGTTTGCTGCTGCTCAAGCTTGTGAGTGTGCACTACAGGATCACAATGGATGAAACTTGAGACTTTGCTGCTGAAATTGTGGCCCTTTTAAGCTCATTTATTAAAAACATGAGCACGCTCGTGCAAGTTGCAAACTACACTTTAATCTTAATTGTAATTTTTTTGAGCTCTGAGTATTGAATTCTGTAGCATTATCAAATCTGAAGTAATTGGACTTAAGTAAGCTCCAGTTTGTGCTTCTTGCCCTATTTGTTTTTGTTGAAGGTCTCAGTTGGAGCAGTGACCACATGACTGTTCGTAAGTTTGAACTTCACATATGCAAGTGACATGCCAACCTCTTTGAGGCTGTTAACCCAGTCTATCATGTTTCCTTGAGTTGGAAGGTAAAAGGATTGAAGCTCCTGTAAATCTCACTCAAAGTTACTGCTCATGCATGTGTATGTTATGCTTTTCCTGCCTTACTATTTGTTGTAATTTTTTCCTGGTGTGAGGTATCTACAAGACAAAATTACATTTGTAGAGCACCTTTCACATCGGGAGGAGGTCTCAAGGCACTTATATGTGCCTAATAAGGAGCATGGGCGTGAGCCAGGTACGATTTTTGAGTCAGTCAAATAATTAATGTGGTTTGTTCAATATATCCTCAGTGTGTTTATTTAGATTTAGCATAAAGAGTGGCCCCACCAATAATTAGTATTGCTCTTATTAGACAGCGTCCAGAGGGATATTTAGTTTATGAGATGCTTTATTCAGGGCTTTTAATGTTTATAGTGCAACGTGTGGAAGGGAATGAGTGCTATTTTGCCCATGTTATCATTCTCATTGGTAAGCGATAGTTGGACATAAGCAGTGTTGCTGTTTGGATGAAAGCTCATCTCTGGGTTTATGCGACAAACAGAATGCTCAATCTGCTGTCATGGTTTGACGTCCTCTGAATCTCTTGGAAGGGATTATTTCTGGGTATCCATTGTTTTCCATTAATTGATGTTCAGTGTGACGTCAGTTCTGTTTTATCAGTAACTATTGGGGGGTTTTCAGACCATTATGCATTTAGGAAAAAAAAATGCATAATAAGTAGTAACTTCAAATATGTGATTTAATCCTGAATTTGGATGACCTCTAACATATTTGAGCTGTATTTCTCTATCTTGTAGTGTCATCTAAAATCATGCATTATTCATGCCTCACTGCTGATCATCTATTATTTTACATGCTATCCCTACAAAATAACCTTGTTTTACCCTAATGGATATTGAATCCTGTTAACAAAAAAGCAGAAGTTCATTTTGTAAATCGTGTGGCACCATCAGATCCATAGAAATTTATCAAATACAATACTACAAAGTTTGGTCCAATTTAGAGCTTCACCATATTTGTAACATAATTGTTGTAGTTTATGGCAAGTTTCACAATAAAAAAACAATTTGCACTTGTATAGTTCTTTATGTAGGGAGAACGTCTCAAAGCGCTTTATCAAGACTGATGTTTACAATCTTTTTATCCCATTGGGAAGGTGAAGATTGTTCTATTGCACTTTTATGGTTTAGGGTTTATAAGCAGATCATTCAAAAATCTATGGCGCCTCTGTATCTTCTTGCGCAGCTTGGTAAACAAGAAGTTCAAGCCAAATTGCTTCCTTTTCTCATCTCACCTGATTTAATAATCCGTGTAGTTAAGTATCATTGGCTGCCCAACATGTTTGGTAGTGGAGGTAAGGTGTATATTCATTGATTCAAAATATATGTTAATAGAAAATGGAGCGGCATTACACATACTGGCTAAATCTAAAACAATCCATGTTAATAATGAGGATCACACCAGTTTGGTTGTCTTGGCTAGAGCTTTGAGAAAGAATTCCCACAGTAATGTTGCTCTCTAATGTCACACTGAACAGAATTGAATTACTAATGCCGTTATCATAGAATAATGCATTATTTCACACATTCAGGTAATCGCATGGAATATGATACCTTGGCACAGTGTTATCTTGCCATTAGCATTAATTTAGATGCTGTTCTGCCATTAAGATATAAAACCCTTGTAAATCCAGTGGAACCTGATGTGGTTTCTATTAAGAAAACTGGTGTGTGTTTTACAACGGTAATATTCTTGCATCAAAAGATGTCCTGATCAGGTTTACCACCTCATCTTGGTTTATGCTGTCTGAACGCTAACTCTAGACACAACCTGAATCCTGCTGCTCGGTATGTCTTTTCACAACCCCTTTACATTGTGGGAGCATTAAACATGCATTTGTTCAATGATTTACCAAAGTGTATGGATTTTGAGGCAATTGAAATATCATTTTGATTTCAAGGCTGTGGCTGAAGATAGGGCCAGCTGTAAAACCCACAATTCAGTAGTGGATCCTGCAACCGTTCAGTTTCTGTACTACAAACTGATTGATTTCCTGATACATGACCTGCCTCAGGAGGCCCAAGGCCAGTATTGGGGTTCACAGAAATAACAGGCAATACTTTGGGGGGGGGGAAAGTTGTCCACAAATTCAAATGCTGTTTTTATTATGTGCTTTGTTAACGGAAACCTTGCTAATACTTTCTGTGGTTGGAAATACAATGGTTATGAAATGGAGGACAAAAGCCTCATTGAACTCAGTCTAACCTTCCTCTACTCCCTAAGTTACCCAGCGACAGTGAGAATGGATGAGATTGGAGAGAATGTGCTAAATGAGGTGGTTGCTAATGTTACGAAGTCTTGAATAGAAATAACATTTGGCAGCAATGGGTACTGATTTATTAACCGCGGTTTCACTGGGGAGCTTGTCGCAGTAGACGGTTGTATTTAACATACAGCGACTTTGATAAAAAGTGCCTCCGTAGAACGTGGATGCAGAACACTTGTTGGAACTAGATGGAAACTGTTTGATGCCATATATTAGCAGCTGCCTGTGTTCAGTGTGGGAAGTAATTGAGCAGATGGCTTTCTTGGTGCAGTCTTTCTGGACTGTCTGCTCTGCTATACATGTACCCTTTACAAGCACTGTAAGGCACTAATACTTCTTGCAGTCAAGTGCAGATATTCTTTTATCTCAGCAAATGTGCAGTGAAGGTCTTACCAGTGTTAATCCATTTACATGGTATTGTCTTCCATCTTCAGTTCAGAGCTCACTCACTGCTAAAACAAAACGTCTGACACAATTGTTATAATAATATAGTAATCCTTGCATTTGATATAGCGCTTTTCATGTCTTCTAGATGTCTCAAAGCGCTTCACAGGATGTACTGTAAATTGAATTGACTGTATATTTGTGGATGAAACGTGGAAGCCAATTGCACACAGCGTTGTCCCACAAACAGTCGTAGATTGAAGTAACCAATTTTTCTTTCTTGAGGGATTATTATCAAGCGTGTGGAGTAAGGAAACTTACCCAAGGTTTCACCTTGCCGGGAATCGAACTTGCAAGGCGAGTTCTCTTAACCACTGAGCTACAGGACTCCCTATAGTTCTCTCCTCTGTACTCTTTGTCCTAATGTATTTTTCTTGGATGAAGGAAGGCAATTTCTTTTATTCATTGAGAGTGCAAAGATTACTTTTGCTCAAGTCTGTAAAAGTTGTCAAACCTGTTTAATTCCCTTTGATTAATTTTGCATTGCAATATTTGCAACTGAATATATGCCATAGCATTGTATTCCTCTGCCAGTTCAAGAGTACATCCTGTGAAATGCTTTGAGACATCTTCCTGCTGTGAAAGGTGCTATAACAAATGCACAGACTTTCATTATTACATTTTAGCATGTTGTATCAGGATTGGCACAAATAATTAAATATGTGTTTTTGTGTATCCTTGGATGGTGTATATTGAATCAAACATGCAATTATTCAAAGACTGTTAGGTACAGATATTATTGGCTGGAAATAAAAACAGGAAATAACTTGTATTTTTATGAAGCTTTATGCTGTCAAAAGTCTCCAAATGCTTTTTGGTAATTACTGTCCAGTCCAATGAGTCATCCAAGGCAAATGAGCCAAACATAGCAATGTCTCGAGGACAGCGATGAAGTGAATGACCAATTTTCTGTACAATTGTTTTCCAAGGAACAAGTACCTCAGTGTCTTGTACTTCAACATCTAGAGTCTTGTTGTGGCCTTTCATAATCTTGCTCATCCCTGTCTCTATGATCTCCTAGCTGTGTTCTGCCTGCACCTTTCACTCTCCCATTGCTGGTCTACTGTTCATTCCTCCCACCCTCCAGTCCACTGTAAAGTCTTCAGTCACTCTACCCTGATTCTCTGGAACTCTGCTAAAATCATTTAAGTTTGCACCACTCTCTGCCTTCCAAAGCCTCTAAAAATACATCTCTTTGACCATGCTTTTGGTCAACACCAAACTTTCCTCTTTGTTTGCCATTGCCATTCAAAGTGAGGTGACACACAAGGAAATGATTGGATACTCGAATTGGAGAGGAGGAACAAATGCAATTCTTAGCACTGTCCAATGAATAACAACAAAGTTACATTTGTTTAGGACCTTTCACGTCGGGAGGACGTCCCAGGGTACTGGACAATCAGTGTTTCGGACCTGAGCTAGGGGTCGGGATCGGGGAGGATGGGGGGCAGGGGGGGAAGGAGGGTGATTGAAGGCATGGTCGAAGAGGAGGGTCTTTAGATGGATCTTGAAGGAGGCAAGTGTGGAGAGGAGGAGGGACTGCAGGATAGAGTTCCAGAGGGTGGGGGCAGAGTGGCTGAAGGCCCGCCCACCAATGGTGAGGCGGAGGACGTGAAGCAGGCCGGAGCCCACTGAACTGAGGGTGGAGGCAGGTTGGTAGGTTGTTAGGAAGTTGCCTTAAAACTTTTTAAAATGAAAATGCACCAAAACAAATGTTTTAGATCGAAAATAAACTTTAGCATTTGGGTGACAGAGGTGTTTCAGATGTGGAATCTGGACCACAAAGTGATAGGATGCACCATTTATCTGTACAGCTTCAAATCTCAATCCTGCCTTCAATGATCGAAAATTTGAGGATTGGTAATTGGGGTAGTAGGGGGAAAAAATGAAACGAGGGAAGACTTACAAAAATCCTTGCATTTGACAAAACGCCTTGAAAAATCTCAGTGCTTCAAAGGGATTTTGCTGCATTTGTATGCAAATACGGTAGCCAATTTATGCACTATGATGTCCCTCAAATGGGCATGAGGTATAGGATAAAATTTATCTGGGGAATTGTTGGTCAGACAACGGGAGAAAGGGTCTCTTTTCAAATAGTGTCATGGGATCTTTAACATCCATCTGAACAGGCAGTTGAGACCGCTCATTGGATGAACAGCACCTCCAACAATTGAACACTCCCCCATAGCATTGCGTTGGAGTGCCAGCGTGGACTGGGAACTTAAAGTCCTGATAGAGGTCTTGGTTCTACAAACCAAGGTGAGAGAGGGTTACCAACTGAGTCAAGCTGACTTGACTGCAGGAGGGAGAAACAAAATCGTGGATGATTATTAGGAAATTATCATCAATGTACATTTCAGTCTGTTACCCTTATTATCCAGTGTTGTACAGATTTCATTAGCTCTCCTATTATTAAGGCTAGGAGAAGCTTCCAACACAGATTTCACTGTTTTTAGTCAACAAGCAAGTTTCAAATGGGTCCTGTGATGACACAAACAACAACAACATGTCGGTGCCTTTCATGTGGGCTAGCATCTCGGAGCTCAAGAAAACTCCCAGTAATTATTTCCAATAAAGTGTAAGATTAGAGCAAATTTAATTGCCTGAAATTAGAGTACTTTTACTCTGAGAACTGCAGGCAGGGTTTACACCGTTTTCCTTTTGTTTACTTACTGAGTACATCGGTTTGTTGAACACACCCTACCCATTCTTTGTTGCATTTAGTTAAGGTTTAGGTAAGCATTTAGTTGCACAAGGTACAGGAGGTTTTCTTGCTGTATGAAGGTTTTTTGACAAATTAACGAGCGATCTTATGCATTTAATGCTTAATTTTTTAAAAATACACTGAAATTTATTTCCAATATAATTTTCTACTCTAGAACATCATTGGATTTATGTGTTCGATAGACTCTTAACCCTCGCTGTGGTGTGCGTGCTACTGGGGTTATCCAATGTTTTATGGATAACTTGTGTATTGAATAGCACCTTCCTTGGAATTCCATTTTTTTCCTTCAAACCTAAGGAAAAAAACCTAGTAAATGACTGAACGCAAGATTCGGCACCAAACCTGCTATGGTGGACTAGAGAGAGAGCCGAAACCTAGAGAACAATGTTACAGATATCTGTAGCTAGGTTCATCTTATGTATAACTAAATCCCCTCCCTACATTCTGATAAATATGTCCTTAAACTATTAAGAAGTATTTCTGATGTACTTTGAGACTGAACTGTTGTGGCATGTTCAATATCCACTTGTTAAAAAAAATTCAATTACAAAATACAATTGTCTGCGTTTATTTAGTAAATATTTGCTTGTGCTCCACATCTATAGGTTATCTGCCTCCAAAGCAGTAATCACACTAGCTGAGCTCTGTGTCCAATGCACTGCTTTGTAAATGCATCTTTGCAAAACCTTACGCTCGATTTGAAAAGCTTGTAAATGTGTCACACTCACTGCCCTGCTTTTCTTTCAGGTTAATGTTTCTACATAGAAGTCCCCCGACCTGCTTTCAAAATAGACCAGCTAAAGAACCATGCTATCAAGCTATTGACCATACCACCTGGTTCGGATAAGACCATTCCTAAACCAGTGTTTGGCCCCCAGAAAGCCAGACCAAAAACTGTTAACTTTGGGAAATCGATCTATCATCCGGTCACCAAGGAATCTGGAACGATGGACACTGAATCCACATACTCTGGATACTCCTACTATTCTGGCCGATCCAAGAGCTCCCACAGACATGGGTAGGTATTGCTTCATCAGGACAGTTTTGTAACTGGTGATAGAAATGATCCTGAAGCACACTTGCTTGTCAAATGCTTTTCTGAACTTTTGTCTGTTAAAGATTCAGCCACAAGTTAAATTACGCAAGTTAAAATTAAACGTTTGTGGGACATTGCTGTGCGCAATTGGCTGCCACATTTGCCCACAAAATACAGTCAATTCACCTTACAATATATTCTTTGAAGCGCTTTGAGACATCTTGACGTGTTAAGAGCTATATTAAACGCAACTATTATTCGTATTATTATGCTAAACATAGACTTTTGTCGTAAAATTGATAAAAATGTATTAGAATAGTTATGGTTAAAGTCGTGCCGGCACCTTCATCCCAAAGTAAATAGCTATCTATCTAATATACGGTTGAGGCTGGCATATGCCCCCCCTCCCCATCTTTCTTGCAACACGAGCGATTGGCATAGAATGATTTCACCTTCCCAGTTGCTCACACTAGGGGGTGAGGAAATGAATGTTCATGCTAACCTGTGTTGAGTTAAATTGAATCCGGTATCTGTTGAAGCATGGTTAAATTACTGCTCTCACAGCCAGGAATCATTTTGAGCCCCCAATCCTCAAATTTTCAGACTATGTGGGGCCTTGGGTAGCAAACGTATGTGAATTCACTTGTGTAATAAATACTCTACTGTTTACTGTCAATTCAACAAAATGGTGTGCATCCTTTTAATCACATTTTATATTAGTCCAGTATAACTTTGGTTTGAATCCATTGGAATTGTAATTAAAATTATTATTATTTTGGGGTATTGGAGCTGACAGCAGTAAATTAAATGACAGTGCCCAACCAAATAAAGTCAAGAGCTGCTGGAAGGTCACATTAAATAGGAAAATCAGCATACTGAATGTTGTGAGCTTGTGCTTTAACACTCTGAAAGCACCAATGAGGAAAATCCATGACTGTAAGAGAGAATTGCGGTCCCCAAGGTCACCCAAATTGTTCATTGATTGAATGTTGGTTTTCAATAAAAAGTCTGTAGTCTATGTATCTCTGAATTTAAAGACTGCCATGTGTTGGAATATGGCCCCCAAATTGTGGAAAGAGTATGAATCTGTAAGTACTACGCTCCAGAAAAAATGCCGATTGATTCTGCTTTCAGTTATAAGGATCAATAAAACGTTTGCAATTGTCACAATGCTTCAAATCAAGTTTGATAGAGTGGTTCCTAAATGAAAAGAACACACTCATAACATTAATAACTAAAGAACAGATGTTTATTTTGTAATCTTTTAATGGGTTGGATAATTTGAACTTTCTTTAGTAACTTAGAACTGATGAATCCTTGCTGTACCAGGAGAGTGTGATTTTGTGAAAGGTGTTATAATAATAATAATAATCCTTGCATTTGATATAGCGCTTTTCACGTCGGGAGGACGTCCCAAAGCGCTTCACAGAATATACTGTAAAGTGAATTGACTGTATATTTGAGGGTGAACGCGGCAGCCAATTGCGCACAGCAATGTCCCACAAACAGTCGTAGATTGAAAATGACCAATTTATTATTGTTTTTGGTTTTGGAGGGATTATTATTAGGCGTGTGGAGTAAGGAAACTTGCCCAAGGTTTCGCCCTGACCTGCCTGGAATTGAACTCAGGTCTCTCGCTTGCAAAGCGAGTGCTCTAACCACTGAGCTACAGGACTCCACGTTGGTGCTGTACAGTATCATCTGACTGAAAGAAAGAGAGTTCTAAGGATTCTCTTTGCCACATTTCACTCTTTAACACATTTCTTTCCCGAAGGCAGTAATTTGCACTTCTAAAGAAAAAGATATTAGAATTTATCGAAGCTGAATATTACGGTTGAATCATTTGAGAGGAAATAAATTCCTGGTTCGATCTTTCCTCCTTCACATCCCTCCTTTTCCCCCCCACAGTGAGAGGAGTCGGGATCGGCAAAAATCAAGGCACAAAGATGGGAGTCGGTCTGAGAAATCTGTTACCATCCAAACACCACCAGCAGAGCCGCTGCTTGGCAATGAATCGACTCGTGGAGATGATACAGTGCAGGTGAGAGTTTGGGATTGTTTTGTCATCTTGAAGACTAAGCTGGAGGTTGCCGCTGCCTAACAGAGATTTTACTGTAACTGTAACTTGCTTATTTCTGACAAATATGTGTTTTGTTGAACTATCACACATTTTGCCAGTCCAAAAGATACTCGGTATCTGGAGAATTCTAAAATTGAACCTTATGTTGTTTTGCCTTTTCTAGACAAACGTTCATTCGGAGGAAAATTGTGTCATTTTCTCCTCAGTTATTTCAGCTGAGTTCAGACAGACTCCAGCCATGGGGAAATGTATATTCTCCTCTTGGTACCTCCCTAACAGTGTGTTGTTGTTATGAATTTGCCTGGGAACGCTTGGCATGCGCATCATCTTAGCACAGTGGCACAGCACATTGCGTTGCCCAAACACAGTGTTCCAACTTTGCGTGCAAATGGAACGCATTTCATCATTGAGCGCAAGAACTTGAGTAGATAATAGATCTAGTAGCATCCAAAGCCCATATTCTCTAGTTAATGGGTTTTTGGTTGCCTATTTTACCTTATTTGTTGTTGTTATTGTTTTATTATTTTTTTAATTATTTTTTGCCCACAAAATATACAGTCAATTCACTTTACAGTATATGCTGTGAAGCGCTTTGCGACGTCTCAACGACATAAGGCGCTATATCAAATGCGAGTTTATTATTGTATTCTTAGGCCTTGCTGTCCAAAAATTCGAGACGCCAAGTTTTAATTTGTCTGGTGACATTAGTTCCGTTGAGACCTACTGAAGCTAGTGCTCTGCTGGTGCAGTAATGTGTTACCAGCATAACCCGAACCACTACAGTAGCCCAGAGACCAATCAATTACTGTGTTAACATGCTTTGGAGCTGTATTCCCATTAGTACAAATCTGACCTCTTGAATTGGCAGATAAAGCACAGGCGGATAGATAGCACTTGTATGTCTCAGTTGCATATTGTGGGTAATTATTATCCAAAACCATATGGTATGTGTCAAAACCTTCTGTATGGGCATGTTAAAAGATTTTTAGAAAATCATTTTGGACCCCTCACAGCATAATAAGTGTTAATCTTTGCAAGTGATTTGTGAGATCCAATTCTGATCCCTCATTTGCGCCTTGCAGGATGATAACTGGGGGGAAACCACAACTGCCATCACTGGCACCTCAGAGCACAGTATATCACAGGATGACATAGCGAGAATCACTAAGGATGCGGACGACAGTGAGCTGAACTGCACTCGGTACTTCGGGATGACGGTTGCCGCTGTGCTCGGACTGTTGGCATTTCTAACCCCCATTGCATTCGTGCTGTTGCCTCAAATCCTGTGGCGGGACACACTGGACCCCTGTGGCACTGTTTGTGAAGGACTCTTCATCTCTGTTGCCTTCAAGCTCCTCATCCTTCTCATTGGGACCTGGGCACTCTTTTTCCGCAAACCAAAGGCGCAAATGCCTCGAGTTTTTGTGTTCCGGGCACTCCTGATGGTGCTGATCTTCGTGTTTGTGGTGTCCTATTGGCTGTTCTACGGAGTGCGCATTCTGGACTCCAGGGATCCCAATTATCACGGAATTGTTCAGTATGCGGTTTCCCTGGTCGATGCCCTCTTGTTCATCCACTACCTGGCAATTGTGCTGTTGGAACTTCGTCAGCTGCAGCCCCTCTTCACTGTGAAAGTGATTCGGTCAACTGATGGAGAATCCCGTTTCTACAGCCTGGGCTTACTGAGGTATGTGGTACACCGACTCCACCAGGAGCAGTTAGTGAGGTTTCTAATCTGTCTGAGATTGTAAATTGAGAAATGTGCATGAGATGAGGTTTGTGATCATTCTCGAGGGACAAAATCCAGTGAGGGTGGGAGGGAGAGAATCACTTCTAAAATATTGTTTGTGATGGATGAAATGGATGGATGAACTTATTTTGTTTGTTGATTTCTCTGTAGGGCGAAACTGAGGTTCTTATTTGTATGTGTGTAAGGACTTCTATTATAATGAGGTAATAAAAGAAAGCAAGAAGGGAACTGTGGTGTATGCTTGCCGTTGAGCAGCTGCTGTCAATGGCCGCTTGCTGTGATGAACACCACAGCTCCTGCTATTTGCAGTTGACCTGTATTTGTATGCTGTGTTGAAACATTATTTCAGATCATTAACTAAGTTGCATTGCTGAGTACTGTAAACTCTTTTTTTTCCCACCTCCTTGAAATGAAGTAAGTGGCTGCTGACACTAATTCAATCTCAAGAGTTCTGTGCTTAAGATTCATTACAGAGCTGTGATTATGGAGTTGACTTGTATTTGCAACTGAGAGTCCTTTTGTGGTCAATCATTTAAATTGAGACAAAGATCCTTTAATTTCTGAAGGTCTCTTGTACTTCACTGACTGCCTGATACTTATTCGGGTTATTTGCAGAAATGGTAAATCTTGGATTCTGAAATGATAACACTCATTGCTCAGAGGTAAAAGTAAGAGTCGCGGAAAGAGGATCAAGACTGTTGTGTCTGAATTGGGTCCAATATGGCTCACTTGAGGCATCCCAACTCCATTCAGATCAGCAAGTCTTGGATGGATCCTGAGGCATAATCGGCATTTCATCATTCAGAGATTAATGGTCAGCAATGGAGAGAGAGGCCATTTCCAGTTACATGTCACAACATCAATAAGTCAGCACACGGTTGAAAGAGCATTCTCATTATTCTCTGGAGAGCAGTTATTTTTGATTTCAAAAAATATTACTGGACTGAATAGTACTGCTTTGTCTCATTACAAATCCTTTCGCTGTTTTTTTGTGGGGAGGTGAGAGAGAAAAGAGAAAGTGATGCCTAAGGCTGGCAGAAATTGCTGCTTCTACTTGTTCCCACTGGAATGAAAGAAAGGTGCAACCAAGAAACAGTACTATCCCAAAGCAATCTTGAGTTCCCAGTACTCATCCGTTCAATCTCTGCAGAGAATAAATGAGTACCTAGTTAATTGGTTTAGCAGCTCAAATGTGGATTTCTATTTGAAACCTGAGAAATGGAATGAAGTATAGCAGTATTGGAAAAAGTGCAGTTCAGCCCATCGAGCCAGCTCTTCCACTGTAGTTAACTACTCTCCTCGTTCTCTGCCTTCTCTCTACATGCGATGTTGCTTCTCTTCAAATATTTATTAAATTCCCTTTTGCATGTAATAGTCTCAGCCTCGGTAACTACTTGTGACAAAGTGTTCCATAGTTATGTATTCCAAAGCTTTCATCATTTTGAAGATGTCTATTTGATTCCTACTTAACCTTTTCAAGCCTGTCCTTATTATTTGGGAACTTCTTTTGAATGCTTTCCATTCAAAGATGTGTTCATGTCATTTAATATTCAGACCAAAGGGCAATGGCTTTTATTTCACAATTGTAAAAGGAATGTTGGAGATGTAACTAAATTTGTGTATGGAATGTACTTTATCCAGTTTCTCTAAAGAGAAAAAGATTAAATTGGTTGGTGTAATTCTTACAATTGTCAGAGGGAATTAGAAAGCTATTTAGCGATTAATTGAAACGATGATTAATGTAATAGTGTATGTTTTTGTACTTTGGGACCTATCAAATAATAATAGTAATCCTTGCGTTTGATATAGTAACTTATCACTTCTTTGAGACGTCTCAAAGCACTTCACAGGATATATTGTGAAGTTGACTGTATTTTGTGGGCAAAAGGTGGCAGCCAATTGCGCACAGCAGTGTCCCACAAAGTCATGGATTGAGTGACCTTTTTTTTCCCCCTTGAGGAAACATTACACCCAAATGGACAATGTTGGCAATGTTCCTAGACCATTTCAAGCCTTGTGGCTTGATATCAAAACTATGTTGAGAGATGGAGATTTCTCTGAGTTCTACTCTAGATTCCTAGCTATCATGGCTGCTGTGTGCTTATGGTAATGAGCCTCTTTGAAACTATTTTGCATTCATGGTCAAACGAGAAGAGTATTCTCCCAGGGTTTCTACTATATCCTATACTTCTGTTGCATTTCTAAGAGGAGAAGCTCTGACCCCACATTTTCAGCCTCTTGTGTGGTTTTTATGGGTCTGTCTAAATGTTTCTTCTCATGAAAGGACTGCCAAGGATAGAACACACTGTTGTAACAAGGCCTATCTCCAATGTTGGAAAGATGAGTTTTTCGAAATTAAGAGATAGGCTAGGTCCGTTCAACCTCAAAAAGAGACATCTCTGAGGGAATCTTAGAGGTATATAAGGTGCTCAAATATATTTTCAAAGTCTCGGGAATTTCCATGTGTACATGGGGTGCATGGAGAAAGAAAATATATGGATGGAGACAATAAACTTCAAGAAATATTTTCAGACTCAGCAGGACAGCAGCATACTCCAGTTGTGTTTTTAAGTGCAGGTTTAGGACGGGCAGCAGAAATATTTCTTTACATTATCTGGGACACTGTCCTCGTATAAGAGACCATTGATACTGTAACTTGAAGGTAGGGTGGGTATGAGATCAAATCAGCAGTTTTCTGCATTCTTCTGCATTCAAAACTCTGATGGCCCTCCAGGTTCCTCTAAAACCCAGAGCAATGCACAAAAATACGGCGTGTGAGTGTGACCGTGCCTGTGAACTTACAGTGCCACTCAAGTTGAGTGGATAAAGACTGTCTGTATTTATTGTGACCACATGACACTCGTTTCTGGGATGCTAGGCCATCTTCGGTTGGTACACCTCCTCAAAGCCCCAGGGATGCCGAGTCTTGCTGAAGTACAGATCAGCTGGTTTATAATTGGATTCTTCTGTTAAATGTAGACTACTACAGGCATAAAAATATGAGGATTGTTAATGATAAATTTCATTTGAAAATTCTAGTGGAGTATGCAACGGTTTTCCAATGGATGGAAATTAGAGCTAAGACAGATATGAGTGATCATGAAGTTCACTGAGGATCTCTTGTGGCAGTAATTTGACATTACACTGCTAGATGTACCTGGTAAATATTTGTAAAGACCATTTAAATTATTTTTATTTCACCAATTTTCACCGGGGGGAGGGAGTGAAAGTGAAAGTCGATCAGTAAGAAAAGATTTTAACCCAAATCTCATTTTTTAAAAAAAATGAATTTGCTGGTTTTAATTGTGATGGGGTACACTCATCCTAAAACTAGAACAGAATCATGGAATCTTATAGCGCAGAAGGAGGCCATTCGGCCCATCTTGGTTGTGCCAGCGCTTTGAAAGAGATATTCAATTAGTCCCACTCCCCCACTCTTTCCCCATAGCCTTGCAATTTTTTTTCTTTTCAAGTATATATACAATTCCCTTTTGAAAGTCATCGTTGAAGGAATCTGCTTCCACCACCAGCCTTTCAGGCTGCACTGCCAGTTGCAAGAGCTCAGGTGCAATGCATTTGCAGGTGAGCAGACTGCAGGTAGCATTACTTTGCATAGCTGGGTAAGATGGTTCCAGGAATGTGCAAGACTGGTTTCCGGATGCAAGTTGTAGTCCTATTATTATTCTGGCAGGGCTATTATTTTGAACATGTGTAGGCTGAGTGGACTTGTGTGCTTAACCACCTCTGGAAACAAAGATGGAAATGTTACTGGAAAGGCTGGACAGAAAATTATAAAATAATTTGAAAAACATCCTTATTCCCAAATTTATGATTAAAATGATCACTTGTTTCAGTTTAATTGTAATAGCTCTGAGATACTTTGCTGCTACGTACACAGCATAAAAATCCACAGCTAACCAGCTTGTTGCTTCCCAAAGTTTTGAATACAAATCTCCAATCTAAACAGCTCCACCTTGCTGTGTTTGTTCTCGCATGTTTATTTGTTCCTATTGATCCACTTCTTGGCTCTTCCCGAGAGCGAGGTGGAAAATTATTTTGCACACAAAAGGTAGCTTAACAATTTTCCCATTTAGAAATTAATTTTTGCATAATACTTGTCTACAGGATGGTTGTTTGGCCCAAGTGAGGATTAGGCAAATTGCTTAGTTGATGAGTGCTTGCTTTGTATCAAAGTCTTTTTCTTCCTTTTTGTGTTCCAGTATCCAGCGGGCTGCGCTCGTCGTTCTAGAGAATTATTACAAGGATTTCACTGTGTACAACCCCGCACTGTTAACTGCTGCAAAATCCCGTGCAGCCAAACACATGGCTGGACTGAAGGTCTATAGTGTGGATGGTAAGTAATGCCCCATGTTGGGGTATGGCCTTCAAAATTTGTTTCCCTGCTCTTTAATGATGAAGGTTTTGTTTAAAAAGAAATGTAAAAAAAACTTATTTAAAGAAAATACTTGTAAAAATGTTAATTGGCTGAATGTTTTTAATTGATGCTATAAATTAGTTTTTTGGTGGTTCTGCTTTTTTAGTTTTGAACCCCCAAGTTCTGCAGCAGATTTGAAAATATTGTTTTGTCCCACCCTCCAACTAAATTAAAATCTAATGAAAATATGAACTGGCAGCTACAGGTTTTTCAGAATCAACTTTGCAAAGCTCTGAGGATGGGTATTGTTTTTATTTGTATGCCTTTGGGTTTGCAGGCAGTACAAATATTGAGCACCGAATTACTTAAAGGAATAATTGTGACGCATTACTCCCTCATCTGGATAATGATAGAATAACTTATTTAGATTTTTGTTCTGAATTGACTTTCATCTCCTGTCTTCTTGCCAGCTTCGTTATATAATACTGCTTGCATTTGAAACGTATAACCTAGAAACAGCTTAAACTGTTTCACATGCAATTGCTGTCAAGTATGGTGACTGCACTTGTAAGCAAGAGCAGGAAGCAGCCAATTGCACACACAAGTCCCACAAACTGCAACGATATTGTCTCTCAGCAAGATTTCAGTGACTGTCCTACAACAAGCAGGACATATACAGGTTCACTGTTAGCCCATTGAGAGGGAGATAAAATACCCACACTTAAGTGATTATTGCACTATGTACACTAGTAAAACAGACGGTTAAACTCTTGAGAATAAATCAGCTAGTGAAACAGAATACAAAGCACCTGCGTCTGGTTGTTTCATGGTGTTTTTATTTATGCAGAAAGTGTAAAATGGTTAATGAGCCTCGGTATCAGGTGCTACCCAAGAGACTCTCCATTCGAACATTGTGTGATCCAATTTATAAAACTACTGAACCTGGACCTTTTGAATTCTCCTTCCTCTACCACCTCTTCCTTTCTACTTCTGCTCTGTTAATTAGGTTTGCTATATTATGCAAGAAGCTCTCCATTCCAATAGTATCTGTTATAAAGCTGCTTAACTTGAGCCACTTGATATCTTGTTGTAGCCCCAGGAGAAGTTCCCTTCTGTTTTCAATAGCGCTAACAGATTTAACATCTCATCCAAAAGATAATGCATATACTTAACAATGCAGACATCTCCCAGCACGCCACTAGAGTGTCAAACTTGTGATCTTAAACCCTTTTTACATCTGGGTCAGAAGGTTGTGTGATATGGGCCCACAAGTGAGCCAAGCCAGATCACCTGTTTATTCAGAAATTATTGTGAAATGCAAAAATCTTCCATCTCCTCCAATTTCCGTCTCCGCAGGTCCTGGGAACAATGCTGCTGGCCAGTCTCGGGCTATGATTGCCGCAGCAGCAAGAAGGCGTGATTCGAGTCACAATGAGTTGTACTATGAGGAAGCAGAACATGATCGTCGAGTAAAAAAGAGACGTGCAAGGTAATGGTCCTAACTGAACATGTGGTGTTGTGAAGTTCTTCCATCTCAGGGAGGTGATGCATGGAAACAGAACGTGAAGGCTGGTTTCAGATTTCAATAACTCAGTGGTGAATAGTTATTGCAAGGGCCGAATGCTAGGTGTTTTAGCTTTGCACAATTTGATTTGAAGGTACCTAACGCATGGTGGCATTGGGTGCGTACTATTGTAGATATCAGAAATGTTATCCACTATAATGGTACCCGTTGTTCAGACATTCAGCTCTTGAAACAGGACAGGCACAAAATGGACGCATCTTGGCTGGACATGAAAGAGAAGAGATTAGCCATGCCTGAGAGGGCAGTAGTTTACCTGGTGGTTTCCGAAACTTGGCTATTGTATTATTATGGGTATGATGTAGCATAGTTTTGGGAATGTAGAGAAATAACTTGTATTTTTATTGTGCCTAATTGTGTCAACTTCTCAAATTACATCAGAGGTAATTGCTGGCAAGTCAAATTACTATTTTTGTAAGTTTCATAAATAGCCAATTATCATTGTGAGATTGGAGTAATCGATCAAATAGACCTGCAAGTCCTGAACTATACAGCATTCTCTCATCACAGGGAGTGTACGCAGCACCTACCCAGAATCGCTTTAGACATAACCTCACTCATTCCACATAGCACATGTTCTTACATGATGTACAGTAATTGTTTATCCTCACACACATTCCACTCCAGTGATTAAACCTTGCTTCTAATTCTCTGCTGTATTTATAAGTTGACATTAATGTTTAGTCTGTCGTTTTGGATGAATAAAGCAGAAAGACAACTTCAGAAGGGAGGAAAATATCTGCTGATGCTGATTTTCTTCATTTCTCTCATTCCTGCAGGTTGGTGGTAGCAGTTGAAGAGGCTTTTACTCACATCAGGCGCCTTCAGGATGATGAGCAGCAGAAAGCTCCAGGAGAGGTGATGGACCCTCTGAATGCAGCACAGTCCATCTTTCCATCAATGGCGAGAGCGCTGCAGAAATATCTTCGTACTACCAGACAGCAGCATTACCACACGATGGAGAGCATCCTGCAGCACCTGGCATTCTGCGTCACCAACAACATGACCCCAAAGGTATTCCCAAATCTGATCCCATCTCTCCCACCCCCACCCCCCCAACCCTTCTGTGATGTGGTCAGTTTCTGTTTTTTTCAAGTGAAACGCATGAAATCTGCCCAGAAAAAAGCCCTTGCATTATTAATTAAATAATGATTCGATTCTTGGGCAGGGTGAAATGTTGGACAAGTTTCACATGCCTCTGTTTACCTATTGGCGGATTGCTTTTCTGGCGGTAATAATCCCTTCAAATAAAAAATTGTCATTCAATCCACGAGTGTTTGTGGGACACTGCTGTGCGCAATTGGCTGCTGTGTTTTGCCCACAAAATAGACAGTCAATTCACTTTACAGTATATTCTGTGAAGCGCTTTGAGACACCTCGAAGATGTGATAAAGCGCAATATCAAATGCAATCATTATTGTTATTTTTATTATTATTACAAATTCATCATTCCACTGTAGTTAATTTAATCTATAATAATTGAATCTAATTGAAACTTCAATTACTTCTAACATGTGAAAAACATAAAACGTATAACCTCCAGCACAGTACAGAAATATGTAGCAAAGTCTAATAGTTACAAATGGTGATGGCTCTTGTTATAACTTTGGAACTAAGAGTAGAACTCAAAATAGGAAACCTTTTATCTGCTAATGCTGGTTGTTGTACAAACCACTTTTCAAATTCAAATTCTTCCAAATAGAGTGAGACTACTTTTTTTATTATTGAGTTTGAAATCTACTTCTCAGATTGATTGTTTTAGAATTGATTTAAACTGAGATCTGATGCACAAAACTCAATTTTTTGTGTGTTCTGTTATGAGTTTCCGCTCTTTACCAAATCTGGGGTCTTTTTTTCCCTCAAATTTCAGTTCCTTGTTTTCTCTCCCTTTTGAATTTCTCCATGATTTTCTCCCTCACCTCTTGTTTACATTTTCAGGCCTTTCTGGAACGTTACCTGAACCCAGGGCCCACTCTTCAATACGATAAGAACAGATGGCTGGCCAGCCAGTGGACACTGACCAGTGAAGAGGCTGTGACCAATGGGCTGAAGGATGGCATGGTTTTCACATTGAAATGCCTTGACTTCAGCCTGATTGTGGTAGTGAAGAAGATTCCTTTCATTAAGCTGTCAGAAGAGTTCATCGACCCCAAATCTCATAAGTTTGTGTTGCGCCTTCAATCCGAGACATCAGTGTAAGATGTTCATGCCATTGACCCAGGTGGCAGATGTCAAAAACAGTCAGATAATCCAACTGCACTTTGGAAGGGAGGGTTGTTATCTTTTGACCATCTTTAGATTTTTTTTTCAAACGGTAATACTGGAGACCTGATTCCTGGTCTAAAACATTAAGAACATGTATACCTACCATATGGGCTTCTCCATCTTACTCCGCTTGGTATGGACTGATACAGTAGATCCCAGCCTGCTTCCAGATACCAGCATGACCATAACGGACCTCTAGGAACCTTAAGCATTTCCTGTATTGAGAGAAGTACACTGTCTTTCTACTTGTCTCTAGAGACCTTATTCTTTTGCATGTAGATTTACCAAGATCTCACCCTCTGGAAAACGCTCTTTGGAAACCCTAATCCACAGAGAGGTTTGTTTCTCGAGATCTGGACCTTCCTTTGAGAAGACTGGTGATACTGGCTGCCGATGGCAATTTTTCTAGAAAACCTCTCAACAAATGAAGATGTAGATAGCTCCCATCTTTCCATTACTAGTGTTCTAGAGAACCAGCTTTTCCCAGATAACGTGCTCGGAAAATCTGATTCACGAATGTAGACTTGCACAGTGTAAGCATTGTTACAGAGTAGGTAGTGTATTATCCAAATGTGTGGAGTTTATGTAGATGTATTACCTTAGAGGCAGGTAATGTAAAGATAAGGGAAGAACTTTGTATTGTCTTTTCCAAGCAAACACTGAATTGGAAATCCTTTTGAGGTACATCACTTTGAAGGGGCTTTAGAAGTGCTTGAATAGGAAAAAAAACACTAAGGTAAACTTGAAAGCCGATGGATTGGAACGAATCAAGAGCACATTTGTACAGCAATGACAGAAGATTGGCCTAGTGCTTTTGTGGTTTTATTCTAAATGATTATGCACACTAAAATCAGTGAAGTGTGTACCTCCGAAAGGTTGAAGGCATGTGATAAATGTTGTTTCATTTTGTTTAATATCTTGGGTCTGCCCAGTAGGAACTGCACTCTGCCTGAGATCTCTAATTGGCTTCCTTCACACTTTTACCTCTCAGTGGAACACAGATTGTGCCTGGCTGGCTCATCTCATACCCACACCACACTACATGCCACTTAAGGTCTTTTTATACAGAAATATTTGTTGTAAGAATTCTGTTCAAGAAAATATTTGTTTTGTCATTTTTTAAAAAAAAACATGGTTGTGGCCTTTGAATCTTCTATTTTATTTTTTAACAGATAACTTTTGTTTAAGCATTTCTTTTAAATTGACGCGTTTCTTGTATAAAGACTTTTTATCAGATCAGGAGCAGAGTACAGTATTTGTCCAATAAGTGTATCAGACTAAGCTGAGCAGCAGGCTTCTAGGAGTTTGTCAAATGTAACAAGAGATGACTTTGGTCAAATGTTCTATGGTGATGAATTTATCAATTGGTCTTACAGCAAGATTGATTTTGTTGTTTAATTCGAGTATCTTGTGACTTTGTCCTGAAGGCAACCAGCACATTTGAGGGATCTAAATTGATGGAATATGTCAGGACATCTTTAGCCTCATTCAGTTTTCTTACAGTTATTTTTATAATTGCAGTGGAATTGACAATGCAGCAGCAGAGTAGCCATGTGGAAGAGTGACGTTCACAAAGATATCAACCCGGCAGCTCCAGGGGTCTTGACTTGATTCCTAGATATTCGAGTCCCAGGGGCTGCTTGTCGTTCTAAGTAGCCTGTTTGTTTGGAGTTATGGCAACTCTGAGCTAAATTGTCAGAATAGATTCTCCCTATTTGGTTGGGGGTGAGGGGCATTGCAGACTGTTTTGTGCCTTTCTGCTATCTAGTCACAGTATACCGTTGACGATTGCCAGTGAAGAAGTCAATGATACCAATGGGGAGAAGCATGAACTAGTCAATATTGGAGTCCCAGTTTGCATAACTTTTGGGAAAATGATAGGGAGAAAACCTGGAATGTAACTTGCAAGGGAGATGCAATGGCGCATCACTCTATCAGAATGTGTGCTACATGGAACCAAAGGTTCTCGGAGCTAAGCATAATGAGGTTAGCACATGTAATCACTTACAGTATAAGGAAGAGGACTTGTCTATCAATTGCAGCTTTAAAAAAAGTTGAAAATGCTTATGGTTACTTGCGTGGAATATGTAGTGTTTGTGACTGGAACAAAATCTGAGCTTGCAGATTTTTAACAAGTGTTTTAAATAGTTGCGTAATCTCTGTCATTCTGGAGCAGCCATCTGTTACCAGGGAAATAAGGAAACTAATTTCCATTCCCATCTCCCTGCCACCACTACCTCAAGTGTTATGTAGCATTCCTCAAAGCATATTGTTGATTACTACTCTGACCTTGCAGTTAATAGTTAACCCTGCTTGAAATCCAGCCATATCGATGAAAAAGAAAAAAATACTGGCTTTAAATGCTTAAATGTATTTTTTAAAATTTTTGAAACCGGTCTAAATTGCTTCATTTGAAAGAAATGTTGTGTATCTGAAATTCTTTGTAATTTCAGACTGACTTATAGTTGTGCTGGAAGTATTCAGGCCTCAGATAACCTTATTCAAAACCAGGTCCTTTCTGATTCTGCAAACGCCTGAAGCTAAGACATTCTATTCCCTAAATAATGTCCTCCACATTGATCATTTTGTCCTTCTACAGTATCTTGCTTTGTTACTTTGTTAACTGCTAAAGATTTTCGGACACCACTTGATATAAAGATATTCTACCTTTTGCCAAAGAGAGTTCTGCAATTCTTCCCTACCCATGACTATATTTTAAACAGGTAGTGTGAATAAACTTTTTTGAGAAAATGCCATTTGTTAGAATATTCACCTTTATAACTCCAATATGATGGGGATCGTATGTGGTATTTTTCTTTAGAGTGCTCTTATTTTCAGTAGGAATTTATGGGAATGACTAAGATAGCTGGGCGTTGCATTCTGTACCCTGGATATAACTTGCAAAGCTGCTAGTTTCTGTTAGCATTACTGTGCTGTATTCTGCTTCTAATCTGCCAGCGACAGAATGTTCCTAGAGCTCCAAAACTGAGCTTCCTTGACCAACATAAATATCATTACCATACAATCCAAGAGTCCATTTGTGTCGAGCAACCTGATTCCATTGTGGTCTCAGTATGAATGTAAAATGGCATTAATGTATACGATTACGAGCACCATAGGGCAAAGATGGGTTTGTTTTAAATAAAATACTGTTGAATTCTGGCAACCAAAGGTCACTGCTGTAAGATCAATTGGTTAACTTGTTTGTGAGCTTTTCAGTCTTGTGAAAGTGTTAAACTACGTCACTATGTAACTACTGTACACACATAATTTTATACAGGAAGATTTTTAAATGATTTCTAACAAAAACTCTTGTAACAGAGCCAAGGACTTCTAACCACCAGCTTCTGCACCTTGTATTGAAAACAAATTTGTGGATTTACTGATTTTTAATCTTCAATTGAATAGGTGCATGATAGACACTAACAATTGTGTACATGTGTGTGTGTGTAGCCTTAGTAATTTATTTCTTTGTTTTTGGAATCATTCTCTAAATTTTACATTTTTGTAACAAACTGCAAAATGTTTTTTCCACATCAGATTTTGTACATGGAGTCTCCTAAAAATAAAGACAAAACTAGAGCTGAACTGTGTCCATTTGTCAGTATAATGCTCTTAATGGCTCAAGGTGCTTTAGAACATGCCAATCATATTGGATTAGTTCATCAGCTCCCCTCAAGTTGATGACCTTTGCAGGAGTAAAGTTCCATAAGGTGTCAGAGCAGCCTCTCTGTTACGTTGCCCAACTGGCCATTTTTCATATGCACACTTAGATGTTTACACCTCATTCGTTTCCCCTCCCTGCCCCCACCACCCTTTGCTCAGGCGGCTTAGGTCTTTTAACATGTCCCTCGACCCCTCTATTTCATCATTGAAGGCTGTACTTCTATCCATTAGCCCTCTGACCCTCTGGAATTCCCTGCCTCTGGAATCCCTCTACCTTGCCCTCTTTTTGTCCATTTGGCTGCTGCATTTCGCCCACAAAATATACAGTTACTACGCTTTACTATATATACCGTGAAGCGCTTTGAGATGTCTCGAAGACGTGATAAGGTGCTGTACCAAATGCAAGGGTTATTATCTTCAGAACGCATCTGAAGACTCCTTTTCGACTGTAGTTGCTTCTCGAATCTCTCCCGGCTCGCTGTCAAAACTACCATTGTTAAGCACTCGGAGATGTTACCATGCGTGAAAGGCGCTCAATAAATGCAAACTGGTTATTGCTGAGGTCAGCAAACCACCATCTGACCATTTATGAGCTGAGCCTGATCCAATTCATATCCTAAATTTCCAGCAGGACTCATTAAATGGTGGTGAAGAAGTGGAGCACTTTCTTCCTTCCCCCACTTTTTTAATTAAGGGGAGGCAATCCCTAAGATGCAATGAACTTGCAATGGCCTGAATATTTTGAAACATTAAATCCCTCCAATGGCTGCCATGGTTCTTGCTATAATCTTTTTGTTTTAAAAAATCTATGAGTGATTACAGATTAATAGTAATCAAATCAGCTCAGAGAAATATTTATAGCCAATTATTTTCAGTTAATTTCTAGTGGAAAGCTGAGCTGAGGTAGGTCATAAAGGATTAGCTCACATTTTAAAATTGTAATTTGAATGTATGTTAATACCTTGAATGGAAACAGTTAATTCCTGCTAAAATGATACCATTATTTAGGCTGAATCCTAAATTATGCAAAGAAAATGGTGAGGTGTACACCTTTCACTACAGAAGGAAGTTACTGCACATCAGGATGGAAATTCATGATCATTTTGCCTTGTGAGGAATGCCCCTCACACTACAGGAGCCAAATGCTTTCTGCAATAGAACTGAAGTTTGATACTCTTTGCTGCTTCATTGAGAGCTAAGGACTAGCACTGTAATAAGGTCTTGTGTTTCAAATGAGCAGCTCAAATTCGTCGAAAGTATGTAAGTCTCCCGCTTTCCTAAGCTTGCGATACCAATTCAAATAATTTTCTGTACTAACTGTAAACTAGAACATCTTCCTCACTATGTAGGAATATCCAAGAGCATAAAGTGGACCTGTGTATATAAACTTGTCTGAAAATAAATAGGGTCAACCAATCAAGATATTTTTAAATTAAATTATATGTAACCCAGCAACAGTATGCTAAATGAAAGCCGAGCCCTCTGAAGGTTCAATCGGAGTTGATGCGTTTGCTCGTTTTTATTCTTATTGTCTGTGCATATGGTCGATTTGGAACATAAATTTGGATTGAATCCATGTTCAAGGCTTTTGTTCAAATAGAGCTTTAGAGTAGAGCAGGATTGGAATCCAAGCTGATCAAATTCCTTTTGTAAGCCTATCCATCTGTCTTTTAATAGGCCATCATAACTATGGCTTGAGATCCTGTTTTGCTTCATAAGTCATTGCTTAGATTAACAGCTAAAAGTTTTAAGTCATCTTCTTTATTATCGACCCAAAAATAAGAATAGAAAGACGTGGTCCTGGGGAATAACCAAGGAATAAATGGTGTTTAAGCTAAAAAGGAGGTTAATCCTTTCCGTCAGTCTCTCTGGATCTGACACCACCATCTTGACGGAGATTGGTCATTATCTTCTGAATAATTAATCCTCTCCAATTGAAACTGTTCATGGTCCAGTTTCTTGCATAAGCCGATGTAAATTATATTGAGGACGTCTGATGGTGTGTATTCTAATAGCAGGGGATCTGTTCTAGTAAACTTAGGTTCCAGTGCAATCAAATCTTAAAACTGCACTTTATCCACACTCGCAGGCTTGCCATCATCTTGGGTCCAAAAATAGCCATTTTTATTATGTGATCTTCACATAGCATGGGTTTAGCGAGGAAGCAGCAATGAAGGGAAGTTGACAAGAATTTATATGGGATCTTTGAGGCCATTCTCTTGGTAATGGGAATCAGCTTTAATACCTACAAATCTGATGTGCAAATTAGCTAAATTACAAATACACTTAAAAGCAGTTTTTAAAAGAACAACATTGATCATGGAAGAGTGGGACAGTTGTTTATTTTTTGGCCGGGTGTCTGACATAGGTAGAAACCCATCACCATGCTTAAGAGTATGCAAACCAGACTCAGTTCTATATATGCATGCCATCTACACATGGACATTTTCCCATGTCTGCAACTGATCACGTGCTCTCACTGGAGGGATACATTCTGCTTTCCAAATTTCACAGAATAATAATAATCCTTCCATTTAATATAGTGCCTCATCATGTCTTCGAGACGTCTCAGCATTTCGCAGAATTTACAGTAAAATTAATTGACTGTATTTTATCGGCGAAACACGGCAACCAATTGTGTAGAGCAGTGTCCCATGAACAGTTGTGGATTGAGTGACCAATTTATTATTTTTTTGAAGGAATTATTACACTCAACAATCGACTAATGACTGAGTTCCTACTTACTGCTAGGTAAACAGAGGCAGGTCAAGTAAGGAAATTTGCCCAATGTTTTGCCCTGCTGGGACTCGAACCCAGGTCTCTCACTTGCAAGGCAAATGCTCTAACCACTGAGCTACAGGACTCCAGAATATCAAGTGAAGGTTGGCAAAAGCCAAGGCTTGGGGCTTCAGAGTTTGGGTTGGGAGTTTGACTGGCATAGCTTGCCACTGGAAAGGTTCTTGCCATCTTGCATCTAATACTTTACAGAATTAGGTCAGTCGAGATTGTCCCACCAGGGAGAGTATGTACTCCATTGCAGACATTTCCATGCCTAATTGGCATACCTTCCCTAAATCAACAATGTTAATTAAATTAAAAAGATTTCCAAAAATAACTCAAGATAATTTCTTCCTAAAACTTTACAAACAAAATGGATGCAAAAAGCTACATTTTTCTTTATTTTCTTCACTGTCTTTTACACTTTTCAGAATGAGACATTTCTGACTAGGACAATGTGACACCTGAGCTAACAGTTGAAGCTAACAGCGGCCTGGATGTTATAGGTATAACATGCCATTTAACTTTCCCTCCCTCTCTGTGAAGTTAATCCCACAGTTTATACACATCTCTCATGAAAGTAGCATTGTTGCAATGCATAAAAGGTAAAATCCTGCAGATGCCAGAAATCTGAATTAAAAACAGAAGTTGCTGGGAACACTCAGCAGGTCAGGCAGCATCTATGGAGAGAGGAAAGTGAGTTAACGTTTCAGGTCGAGGACTTTTTGTCAGAACAGACTGTTTGTTTCTCATGGAGAAATATAGCAAGGATCTGAAACATTAACTCACTTTCCTCTCCCATAGATGCTGCCTGACCTGCCGACTGTTTCCAGTGACTTCTATTTTTATTTTGTTACAATACATGTCTTACACTTTAGAAGTTCCAAGAAAATTGCCCATGTGGATCTCTAAGTGTTATTCAAAGTGTAAGCTATACTGAAAAGAAATACAAATGATACCTACATGATCAATAAGTATAAAAAGAAGTGAAATAGAATTCTGAATAGAAGTGTGAGTTAAGTCAGTTATAAGGAAATTAAGTTTAAAAACATACAGACACATCTTTCTCAGCACATTCTGAAGCAAGACGTTGCCTCCACCCTTTCTCTCAGGCTATTCTTTAACTCCATCTATGGGAAGGATTTTTTCTGGCTATAAACAGTATCTCTCCGCCTGTTTCCTGTCTGTCAATGACAATCAGAGAGTGTGGCTGAAAAATCCACCTGGCCTTGAGACTCTGGCAAACAGACAGACTCTCTAGCCTCTAAATTCAAATCATGTAACATTTTATAATCTGTGTGCAGTCATGAAATGGGTATCCAGTTGCAAAACGTTTGAACGGATTTAAAACTGTTTTTGGAGTTAATCCCATTAATTGTTACTTAACGTATGGAATACATGGTGGGGTCTAATTTGTGGTATTTTTAACAGAATTCCTCTCGAGTCATTCAAAAGAGGAGTGCGTGTTACAGCATCCTGTGCAGTAACTCCACTTTAGTTCATTCTCTTCCCGGAATAGAGTTCTGGTGTTGACAGGCATTTTAACTAGATTCCTTATTCCTCATAATAATAAAAATAATAGTAATCCTTGCATTTGATATAGCGCTTTTCACAACTTTCTCGACGTCTCAAAGCGCTTCACAGAATAGACTGTAAAGAATACACTGAATTGACCGTATATTTGTGGGCGAAATGCGGCAGCCAATTGCACACAGCAGTGTCCCACAAACAGTTGTGGATTGAAAATGGCCAATTAATTATTGTTTTTGTTTTGGAGGGATTATTATTAGGCGTGTGGAGTAAGGAAACTTGCCCAAGGTTTCGCCCTGCTTGGAATTGAACCCATGTGCCTTGCTTGCAAGACGAGTGCTCTAACCACTGAGCTACAGGCCTCCACTTCTCATGGAGAAATATAGCATGGTAAATTCCTAGTTTTTCCACAGTATCTCCAACAATTCTTTGAAATATGGATAACATTCAATGCACTGCAAATTTACATTTATAGAACAATGATAACAATCCTTGCATTTGATATAGCACCTTATCATGTCTTCAAGACATCTCAGTGCTTCACAGAATATACTGTGAAGTGAATTGGCTCTAAATTTAGTAAATGAAATGCGGCAGCTAATTGAACACAGCAGTGTCTCACAAACAATCATGGATTGAGTGACTACATTATTATTATTATCTTTTTAAAGGGCTTATTATCCCTGGAGAAGTGTTCCGCCAATCGACTAACAACTGGGTTCCTACTTACTGCTAGGAAAGCAGAGGCGTCTGAAGTAAGGAAACTTGCCTATGGTTTCACCCTGCCCGGGAATCAAACCCAGGTCCTCTTGATTGCGAGGTGAGCACTCTAACCACTAAGCTAGGGGATTCCATATAGCGCCTTTCATGTCTGGAGGATGGCCAAAGACATTTAATTATACTGACTTGACTCCTGGGCTGAGGGGTGGGAGCTGATGGGGGTGGGAAGATGAATGTGATGGATATGAGTTCATAAATCTTCCTCAAGTAATTAAATGGATCATCAACCCCTGGAGACTTGTAGATGACTTTTATAATTGTCTGCTAACTCCACACCAGTGAATGGGAAAAATTCTCTAAATTTTTTTAATCAATGTTAAAAAAAACTTTTTTTTATACATTATGGGAAAAATCACCAGGTAAATTTGCACATTTGGCTAAAACAGAGAAAGTATTTAATATCTTAATTTCATTTGTTTCTACTATTTGACCAAACTGTTAGTTATTTATTTGTGGCATGTGTTACACTTTTGTAAGATTGATAACTTTTATCACTCGTTTGATTCCTTATTAGAAATCCAGCCATTTTTGCATTGTCAGGGAATGAAAGGGAATTATTCCAAAAATGGTTAAACCATGACAACTTATAAATCTTGCTCATAAGCAAGTATACTATCTAACAGTGACATATAATCTTGCCAACTATATAAAGGACCATTAGTCACTGACTGTCAACTGTTTAAAACAGTGCCTATTAAGAGAGTGCAAAACAGTAGGATGTGTTCTATATTATCTGAGTGTAGAACAACATTGGGTGATCTATATTAGCTGAATGTAGAACAGTATTGGGTGGTCTATATTTGCTGAGTATAGAATATATTGGTTGAATGTTATTAACTGAGTGCATCTGATGAATCAGTTCCCAGAGAATCTCGTCTTACCAAACTGAAGAAGAAGCTTCACTGTGGAAAGTGGGGAGGGAAAATCAGGAAAGCTAAAGAGAAATAAAAACGAACTCGGAGAGTGAGAGTTTTTAAATCCGTTACTTTTTATTCTGAGTGACTGAGATTTGACTTTAATTCCGTGACCTCCAGTTATGCATCATGAGAATTACGAGCCACTTAAATATGTTGAGAATGATACAATCATTTATTCACATTGCAGACAGCGAATTGCTATACTAAGTAGTTAATCGTCGTCGTCATCATCGTCATCATCGTCGTCGTCATCATCATCATCGTCGTCATCAGCATCATCGTCATCTTCATCATCATCGTCGTCATCATCATCGTCATCATCACCGTCGTCATCATCTTCTGTATTAACCTTTCCTGAGAGCACGTCATGGATCCAATCTTCCAGCTCATCAACCGATGGCAATTCATCTTCATCTTTAATATCCATCCAGACACTGTCAGCCTGAGGGATTCACACACACACACACAGGTAAAGTGCAATATAAGTGATGCACAGGTCATGAGAAACACTATATAGCTCCAGAGAGACAATATATATATATATATACACACACATACATATATATATAAATAGACCCATTCTCGCACATTTGCATGCAAGTATAACATTCAATCCCATACAAAGAAATACAGAGTGACCTCAAATGGAAGTCCTTAATGAAGGAATCCAGATGGTAACGCCACAAAGTCATGGCAATTTGTGGGAACTGCACTCTGAAAGTAGAGCACACCAAAAAAGAGCTTCCTTTGGGCTGGCATGACATAATTCCAGATTCCTTTATAGAGAGCAACTTGCTTTAAATCCTGTTGATACGAATATTTTGCACACTGAGACATTGTTCTCAAGCTACATAGTGCTTTATGCAGCGTCACTTAAAAGTATGTACTGCGTAATAATCTGGTCACTACAATATACGTTGCTTGCCCAAGCTCTCGAGGCAGTGCAGAGAAAGGCAACAAAATGATCCCAAGTATTAGAGGAATGAACTATGAACAATGATTAAACAAGCTGGGCCTCAGATAGACCTTATAGAGCTGTATAAAATTTTAAATAGGATTGAAGAAGCAAATCCAGAACAATAGTTTTGGATGCACCAAGACACTAGAATAAGAGGATATATGCTTGGAGTTCCAAAGGGCAATTTCAGGACAGACATCAGGAAGTATTTGTTTACCTTGAAGATAATTAATGACAGGAACAGGTTGTCAGGAAGAATGGTTGAGGCCAGAACATCGACATTTAAAAAAAAACACTTTACTCTGTGATGGGAAGATGGTGGGATGGATATGGGGGGATAGGATTGATTGGGCCAAAGGGTCTCCTTCACCCAAACTGATTTTGGGATAATCTGTGATTGTCTTGAACCATCATACCCAATTAGGATTTAACTTTCAGGTTTAACGGGAGCTTAATGGGAAGAATCCCAACCTCAAGTGACTGATCTGCTACTCCAAGTATTGCTGATGATGCCAGCTGGAGTTCACATACATAACATACAGGCATGCTTCTATGCATCGATACATCATCCATGCATACAACAAAACTGGACACACATGTATAAACCTCCATGTGTGCTTATCAACAATTCCACATTCGGGCAAAGCACATGCACAATTAAGTATAATTCAGTAACCCTTGGCTGAACTGGATGTTTCTATTCTACTCACATCAGTGACATTCACGACTCCAATCTGAGGTTTGTGAAGGTCAATCTTGAACACTTTTTCCCAGTATGTAAACAACTGAAATAGTCGTGAAAGGAATGAAAGATTAAATTACTGTGAGAAAATGCCTGTAATATAATTCCTGTCGCTCATGTGAAGTGCCCTCACCAGGGGGAAGTCATCGGGGTCGATCCATATAATGCTGAGTTCTGGATTGTCGGTGTTATCTTTTGCTACTTCTTTTAAAATCGCTAAAAATTCATAACCATCTGAAAGGCAACAGAAATCTTTCAGCTATCATAAAAACTTCAGAAATGCTAATAATAATAATAACAATCGTTGCATTTGACATAGTACCTTATCACTTTGCTGATATGTCTCAAAGCGCTTCACAGAATATAGTATACTGTAAAGTGAATTGACTGTATATATTTTGGGTGAAACACAGCAGTGTCCCACAAACAGTCGTGGATTGAGTGATGAAGTTATTATTATTTTTTTTTTTTTAAAAGGGATTATTACCCCCATAAAGTAATTCTCCAATCAACTAACAACCGAGTTCCTACTTACTACTAGGTAAACGGAGGCATGTGGAGTAAGGAAATTTGCCTAAGGTTTTGCTATGCTGGGAATCAAACCCGGGTCCTCTTGCTATTTAGACACATGGGGTGGAATCATTTTGCCTCTGGTATTGTTTGCATTGAGTCAGTACTTATTGCAGGATTATATTTTAGTATTAAAGTTCCTTTGTGTTATTATTGTTCAGTTGCATTTCATTCTGTTTTATGAATGCCTTGTATTATTTTTTTACTTTATCCTATATCCTTTGTGGAGTCTGAGAAATGTCAGAAGTATGAAAGGGCACAGTACTAGTGGCTTTCACTGCTACAGGTGAAGCAGCTGTGATCACAGACCTAGTATTGGTTTTGTCTGCAATGGATGGTATACAACAGTGAGATTCCAATGCTGCCATAAGGCAGCTATTGCCAAAATTAAGATCCCATTAAATGTGAAATTGTTGATAGTCGCTCTATAAAATGGTTATAAAATCCTATGTGTGTAAGTGGTACTTAATCCAATGCCAATCGTAACACACAGTGCAAATGTTCTGGTAATCGGTTCCAATTTAATCTCTTCTGCCAATTAAAAGTTACTTTAACTGTTATCAACTGTTCTACAGCCGTGATTAACAGCATGAAAAGCAGCTGAACAACAATAACTCGAAGGAACTTTATTACTAAAATATAATCCTGAAATAAGCACTGACTGAATACAAACAATACCACAGATAAAGCAATTCCACCCCAAGTGTCTGAGAAGTGAAAACAATTAGGAAGTAGCAAATAAGCTAATGATGTGCTATTTCTTAATAAGTCACATAAATGGAGATTTCTTCCAGTAACTGGAAGTCACTTGATCGGGATATCCTTCAAGACATTGCACAGGTCGATGGGAATTCTAATGGGATTCCTTATTAAAGAATCTCATTAAGAAATACTCTACTGTCTATTTTCCACAAATACATTAACGCATGTATTAATTAATATTAATATTAATCCATATGATATAGCACCTTATCATGTTATTGAGATGTCTGAAAGTGCTTCAAGGATATACTGTAAAGTGTAGTAACTGTGTGTTTTGTGGGTGAAACTAGAGAAACGTAAACTAAAGAAAATGTACCACCATCAATAATTATCAAATCATTCATTACACTTTACACCCCATCTCAAATTATTAGAAACTCGACAGTTGCACATTCCGTATTAAGAAAAGTATTAAGAAATAATAAAAATTTTACTCAATATGTCATTTAGGTTATAATGTTCTCAAGCAAACAGCCTAACTGTATCACTGGGAAAGCCAAGACTATCTCTTGAAAGTCAATGCTTTCCAGAATATTTCAAGGGTCAAAGGCAGCCTTCAACTACCCCCCCAGCAGTTCAAGAAGGTGAAACATAACTCATTAAAACATCCTCCCAGCAAATAAAAAAAGTCGCAAGTGAACATTACATATACATTTTTTAAAAAATATCATTTTGCAGCTAACGCTATAAAAAAAATTAATCTACCAGGAAATACTACAAATATATTATGCAGTTTGTGAAAGGATTTTCATCTGCTCACATTTGATGAACTCCCTCATGTTCCCAGTACAGCAGACATTGCACACACATTGCGTTTGATCTAATATAAACATATAAATAAATACAAATTGTAATGAGTTACCGGGATCTTCTTCTTCAGCAAAAGCCACTATGTGGATCCCATCCATATCATCTTCCTGTGCAGAAATAATGGTTACAACATCAAGTTATATTGTGAGAGGGCAATTTAAATAACACCTTTGCATTTGTTTTCTGTATCTTCATAAGAAATTACACGGAGGTTATATGAGTATCTTTCCATTTTTCTTCATCTGCCTTGTATAGTCCCTCTGTACTGCCTTCTCGCACTTTGTCTATGTCCCTCTTAGAATCATAGAACTTTACAGCATAGAAGCAAGCCATTTGGCCCATTCAGGAAACAGTCATGTTTTTCCTCCACGTGAGCCTCCTAGCATAATCCCACTCACTTAATCTCTTCCATTTACCCTTTAATATTCTTTCTATTTATGCATCTGTCAAATTCCCTTTTAATAGGAAGTCATTGTCTTTATCCTTCTGTTTTGCCCCCTCTATCTACCTTTAAATTCCACATTGAAACCAACTTCTTTGGTCACGCCTATGGTCAGTCCTCCTTCCACTTCTCTTTTGCTCTGTGTCCTGTAAAGTGCTCTGAGGTGTTATTCTAAGTGAAGCATGTCATATAAATCCAAGATGTTGTAAAAAATTGATTGCTTCTACCTTAACAATGTATTGTGGCAGGCAGAGAATCCCATACTCCTCCTCTCTACTGATGTTAAGTGAAGCTGAAGTGAACTCTGCATTGGAGTTTCTCTCATTCCAAGAATCATAAGAAATATTATACATATGGTGTGAAGAGGTTTGTCTTACCCACGTCTCAAACATGTTCTCTGGACGCAGTTTTCTGAGAGTTGACCTGAAAAGCCAACGCAGACAAAGCTTTGTAAATATTTAAAAACTCATGTAGATTTTTCTTCCCCTGCTTGTACTCAGCAAAGGTCATCTTTGTCCACACTCAAGATTGTTCTCCATTTGTCCCGTCAATTTGCCACTGTTTAGTGCTGAGGCGTATTACTCCCTCAATGCATTTAATGCGTGCATTCTAATGTCCAATTATAAGTTGACATGATCGAAGCCCTCCACGGCCTTGCTCCTACCTACCTCTGTGACTTGCTATCGCCATACCAGCCTATCTGTCCCTCCACTTGGCAGACTCTGGCCTACTCCACCAGATCATCAGCATTTTATCTTCCAGAAACGTTAACTAATGGAGTTGACTGGGCTGTATGAAATATTCACTCTGTGGTGTACCTCTTTTGCTCCTGAATGAACTCTACGATTTCTTCCTCTGAGTGTGGCTTGTCAGGAATGGTGATCGGTTCATCCATGAAAGGTTCATAAAAATCCACCTCATTCATCTTCATGGAAAGCTTCTTCGCGACCTGCCCATGAACAAATAAAGTGCTAATACGCAGTGACAAACTTAATGAAAGAATTTTTTTATAATGCATTGCATTGAATCACAGCACAGAAACATCCCATCTGGCAATCAAGTCAACACTGGTATTTTGAGCCCATCTAAGCCAACTAACCTTCCTCACTACCCATTACCTTTTAATATCCTTCTTGTCTCATTGAAGTGCCCCACGATACACAAGTAACTGTACAGACAAAGAATGTGCACATGTTGGAAGCAAAGGAAGAACTTGTCGTTAATGTCATTACTCACCCCTTTATCAAACGTAGCAAAAAAATGAATGTAAGGGTGAAAGTGCTCAGCTGCTCCCTCAAATGCTTTGTAATCTGGATCAGGCAGAGGAGAGAAAGCGGGTCAGAGATGAAAGAAATTATAATAAGCAATTAGATTGAAATGATGTGCATTCTTTAAAAGATTGTGCAGGAATATTATACACAATGTAACTAGATAATCTATTATTCTCTGCACTTTCGTAATGTCTACTTTTGATATAGCGTCTGAAAATAGAGAATTTACCTTAATAATAAAGAGAACTTACAAGACAGTCAGGTAGAAACTTTTCTTGCTTAAGATATAAAGTACATAAACCATAAATTTGTGACTTTTGTTCACCAGTGGTGCTGGGAAAGGGTTGATTTGAGTACAGGAGATGTTTTGATGTAGATCCTCACACTCATATTCAAATTCATTCACTCCTTGGCACCTCCCTACTTCTCCGACCTCCTCACTCCCCAGTCCACAACCTGGCGCTTCTGCTCGACTGGCACCGGCCGCCTGCTTGTCCCTCGCACCCTCCGCCCCACCATTAGAGGTCGCGCTTTCAGCCACTATGCCCAAAACACTGGAATACTCTCCCTCAAGGCCTTGAGATGCTTCCTAAAGTGTGGTGCCCAGAATTGGATGCAATACTCCAGCTGAGGCCTAATCAGTGACTTGTAAAGGTGAAGCAGAACTTCCTCGCTTTTGTACTCTATTTATAAAGCCAAGGATCCCATATGGTTTTGTAACACCTTTATCAATCTGTCCTGTCACCTTCAATGACCTGTGTATATGAACCCCCAGGTCTCTCTGCTTCTGAACTCCCTTTAAAACTATACCATTTATTGCATATTGCCTCTCCTCATTCTTCCTCCCAAAATGCATCACCTCACATTTCTCTGCATTAAACTTCATTTGCCATATGTCTGCCCATTTCACCAGTCTGTCTATGTCCACCTGTAGTCTGCTGTCATTCTCCTCACTGTTTATTACGTTCCCAAGTTTTGTATCATCTGCAAACTTTAAAATTTTGCTCACTATGCCCAAGTCCAAGTCATTTATGTACCATATATCAAAAAGAGCAGTGCACCTAATACCGACCCTTGGGGGATACCACTTGCATACTTCCCTCCAGTCTGAAAAGCAACCATTCACCACTACCCTCTATTTTCTGTCTCCCAAACAATTTCTTAATCAATTTATTTCTCAATTGCCACTGTCCCTTTTATCCCATAGGCTTCGATTTTGTTAACTAGTCTATTATGTAGTACCTTATGAAATGCCTTCAACGGCACTACCTTCATCAGTCCTCTCCATTATATCACTAAAGAACTGAATTAAGTTTGTCAGACATGATTGATTGCCTTTAACAAATCTGGTTGAATGTCATTAATTAACTTATGTTTTTCTAGATGAAAATTAATTTGGTCCCGGATTATGGTGTCTAGAAGTTTTCCAACCACCGACGTTAGGCTGACTGGCCTGAAGTTACCAGGTTTATCCCGCTCCCATTTTTTGAACAGGGGTGTAACAATTGCAACCCTCCAGTCCTCAGGCTATTCTCATATCCAAAGAGATTGAAAAATTGTGGCTGGAGGCTCTGTTATTTCCACCCTAACTTCCCTCAGCAATCTAGAATTCATCCCATCTGGACCAGGTGACTTTTCTATTTTGAACGCTGCTAACCTTTTAAGTACCTCCTCTCTATCTATTTTTATCCTATCGAATTCCTGTACCTCCTTTGTGAAGACAGATGCAAAGTACTCATTCAGTACCTGTGGAGTCCTCAGTGGTTAGAGCACTCGCCTTGCAAGCGAGACACCTGGGTTCAATTCCAGGCAGGGCAAAACCTTGGGCAAGTTTCCTTACTCCACACGCCTAATACTAATCCCTCCAAAACAAACAATAATAAATTGGTCATTTTCAATCCACAACTGTTTGTGGGACGCTGCTGTGCTCAATTGGCTGCCGCGTTCACCCTCAAATATACAGTCAATTCACTTTACAGCATATTCTGTGAAACGCTTTGAGATGTCTAGAAGACGTGAAAAGCGCTATATCAAATGCAAGGATTATTATTATTATTACCTCAGCCATGCCCTCTGCCTCCACAAGAAGTTTTCCTTTTAGGTCCCTAGTAGGCCCCACCCTTCTTTTGATCATTCATTTACTCTTTATATGTTGAAAGAAGGACTTCTTTTCTCATACTCTTTGTCCCTCTTATTTCCTTTTTCAGTTCTCCTCTGCATTTTCTTTATTCTGCTTGATTCTCTAATGTATTTTGAACATAACATTTATCATAAGCCTCCTTTTCCTGTTTCATTTTAAGCCCAATTCCTTAGTCATCCAAAGAGCTCTAGCTTTGGATGCCCTATATTTCCCCCCTCATGGGGATGTATTTGGTCCATACCCTAACTGTCTCGTCTTTGAAGGTGGGCTCCCAATACTCATTTACCCTTTTACCCATCAATCTTTGTTTCCAATCCACCTGGGCCAGATCCCTTTTCAACTCATTGAAATTAGCCTCTTCCAATTGAGTATCTTCACCTTGGATTGTTCCTTGTCCCTTTCCATAACTCCTCTAAACCTAATGATATTGTGATCACTGTTATCCAAATGCTCTCCCACTGGCACCCGCTCCACTTGCCCCACTTCATTCCCCAAGACTAGATCTAGCACTGCTTCCTTCTTTGTTGGGCTAGAAACATACTGATCAAGAAAGTTCTCCTTTACATATTTTAGGAATTCTTCCCCCTCCGTGCCCTTTCGTGTTCTCTTCCCAGTCTATGTTTGGATAATTGAAGTCCCCCATTATTACTACTCTATTGTTTTTACATCTTTTTGAAATTTGCTTGCAGATTTGCTCCTCTAACCTCTTCCCACTATTTGGTGGTCTATAGTGTACACCCAGCAGCGTAACAGTTCCCATTCCTGCCCTTGTTTGAGCTTGGACTCCGTTATTGCCTCTGCATCATAATCCCATGCAGGAACTTGCGCCTGCAGCTCACCAACCTTATTCATCACACTGCATGGATTTACGCACATGCACTCTAAAACTGCCTTTGTCTGCTTTGCATTTCTCCCTCGTCTGATCCCTCCTATCTCTGGACTACACTTTATTCCAAAATTATTTGTCTCTCCCAGTCCACTATGTTCCTTGTTTCTCCTCTCTGATGTTACATCCTGGTTCCCTCCTTGGTAACTGATTGCCTTCTGTGTTGAGATATATATTCACAGGAATTTAGCAGCAACCACAGTTTTGAGTCAGAGTGGAACACTGAACTGAGCATGGAAATGGAAACTGAGGCAGAAACAGCTGAAGATGGACAAATGCACACTTTGTAACAGAAGCTCAAAGTTCAACCCACATTAACTAGATAAGAAGGAAGGGTGAGGAAGGAGGGACTTTTAAACAATTTTAAACATTGCTACATTGCGCTGAACAGCAAGAATCTGGATGATTTTTCCTGTCTTTGACTCATTGACATCAAAGTCAATCACTGTAACTGTACTTCCACCTCACCTGAGAATCAGATAGCTCAATACATAACACAGATCGGACCAGGGACCTCTCCACTCTTCATGGCTGAGCAATTGTTTTTACCAAATTCAGCTCCCAAAGAACTAAACTCTATCACATTTAGAGCTACAGAATATGTGTGAAGCAGTGCATTGTCAAACTTCTTTACAGATAAAAGTAACAGAGCGGCTTTTATCTTTGGGGTTTCTGATCAATGGTCACTCACGTTCAGAATCTTCGCTTTTAAAATATCCGATCAGTTTGATCTCATCTTCAATCCTAAGAAAACTCTGAATCTCTACGTCCACTTCAATGATCTCCACTGGTTCTTCTGCCAGCTGTTGCCAAAAAGAACACAGAGAGAAAAGACGTTAAAACTCCAGGCTTGATTTCAGCATTGAGTACATCGTTTGAAGGATGATGAAGATACAGAGAAAACCCACAACCTCTGACTCATAGGCCAAAGTGCTACCAACTGAGCCAGGCTGACACCAGTGCAATGTTGCAGGAAACACTTACACTAAATCCCTGATATAAAATGACAGAAAATGTGATGTGTCTCCACTTGATATATAGAATGGCAGTGCTCCCACTTGATAATGTGGAAGGTGTAGATAAGCCCTGTGAGAGGTCAACACTCGAAAATACCATGCACAGAAAAGTCTTATACTGTACTTACGTCCAGAAGAAATTCCACCAGCACATCAGCAGAGAGCTCTCCATCGTACTCAATAAGATTATCCTCCTTAAAGATGTACAAACTCCCAGTTTCTATCAGACCTGTGGAGAAACGTATAACTGTAAGTAAGACAGCCACAGCAAAGGAATTGAACACAGAAAAGATACATGTTTAAATGTCACAAGCATTGCCCTCCCAAAGGGTCTTCTGCCTTTCCACTTTGAGTACTGTAGTACCAAAAGTTTCAGATGTACTTGATTCATAATGCAGCAAACTCCTGATAAATCATCATGCTAAGGAGAAAGGGCTCAGTGGCAAATTATCCAGAATGGTGAGTTAGGCATATGTATAAATACAGTGGTCGTGATAAATTAAGTCAGGATCAAGTTATCAGGAAGTAACTGTACTCAATACTAATGATGGTTTCTTTGAGCAATAAAAACCATGCCCCCCTTTTCCCCCACAATGATAGATTAGTTTTCGCCCTGTAATATTGCAAGGTTTATTTTGTACTTTCCTATCCATCACTTGATTCCATTCTTCTACACTTACAGATTCATCCCTTGGATCCCACATATCTCTCTTTGCAAGGTAAGTACTCTGTTAGTAGGGACACATCAATGCTAATTCTGTGGATTTTCTGTCTCCCCTCTTCTCGGCATCTTCCTACGCAGTGTATTAAAAATCACGAACTTAGAATTGTGGGAAGGGGAAAGGGTGTGAACTCACAGCCCTATGCGGTAACAGGTGTTAGAACAGCACAGAAAAAGGCCATTTATCTACAAGGCAGATACAGCCTTGTATCTGTGAAGGCTCTTTGCCCATCTGCCTTTTTTTCCCCATACCCCTTCAAGTCCCATCTATCTGCTCATTTGCTATGGTGGAGGACTGAGGGGGAGAATTACTAAAGGAAGGAAACAGTGCAAATACCAGCATTTTGATTTCAGTTAGAAAAAAATCTGTTCAGCATTACACATTGGTGATGTGTGACTATAATGAGAAATCCCATTACATGCTGACATACCCTAAAGGCAAGACACAAAATGCTGAATGAAATATTTACTCCAACGTGTTTGGTTCATTATGAAGAGAATCAACACCGATCACTCAACTGGTAAGGACTGGGTCCCAGTGTTAAACTGAGCCATATACAAATGGTTCTAAGTTTGCTTTCTCAGTCAGCACAGCGATAGGTGATCTCACCTGGGGCAGTGATAAAGGTGTTAATGGGCTAGGAAGAAGAACGTGATCAGCTTCTCAAGGCTATCCAGCAACCACCCATGTGTGTGAGAACATTGAGCAAGGAGTAAGGTTCAGGTTCGGCTTCGATATGCCCTGTCTAGGTTGGTATCTTGAAGAAATGTCAGTCACACCAGTCTGTACTTGCCCTGTGTGTTGGTGTGTTGCCCAGCAGTACAGTGTAAACAGGTAGGGGCCTCAGGTTGCTCCAGAACCAGTTGTGTATGAAGCAGCTCTCGGGGAGCCTGCAATATGAAACATGACTGAGTTGGTCTACGCTTGAAACCGAGCACTGAGCTTGTAAATTTGTTGCTTAATATAGTTTACAGGCTTTTTGGACTTTTCCAAACTCACACACTTTACAGTATATCCTGTGAAGCGCTTTGAGATGGCTCAACAACGTGATAAGGCACTGTATCAAGTGCAAGGATTATTATAAGAAGTATAACAATTGGCCTCAGCATCCCTATTAGAGCATGAGGAAAGTCAGCCAAGCTTCCCATTCCTCAGGCCAAAATCTTGTATGCTCTTAGCTTTAAGATCATTTCTCTTAAGGTGGTGTGTAATTTTCGGAAACAGTAAACCAATGGATTTAAGGCTAAGACCATGCACAATTTTGGGGTGCAGATTGCTTTCTGGAGACTTTGCCAGAAGGTGTTCATGTGTAGACATTTGTGAGCACACGACTGGCTGAGCTCCCTTTCCCCAGCCCACCCCCACTTGGAATTCTTAAATGGTCTGATATCACACTGAAGGCTCACACATGCGTAATCGCATCTCGGGCAAGTTACTATGGAGGGTGCCCAGCATATACAGGACTTAACCTCAGTCGAAGAAGGGAAGCAGAAACCTTCAAGAGATGAAGAGGAACGAGGAGTAAACCTTTTAAAAATACAACATTTAATAATTTCTCAGCAGATACAATTTAAATCCAAGCTTTGAAAATAAAATATTGAGGGTGAAATTTGCAGGCCTTTATGACTCTGTGATAATCATCACAAGGAATACTGCATATTTAATGTGTGTTCTCTGTGAGGATGATATTATAATCATTGGTAAATGTACCAACCACCAGAGAATAAAATTCACTTGACCCCCAAGGTCAATATATTCACCGACAATCCATTACCCTGAGTATGGAGATTTTAATGGTGTGCATACAATGTATTTTTCTATCATACGCACGTGTCAACCTGGATCAGTTGGTAGCATGCTCATTTCTAGAACAGGTTCAAGCCCCATGTCAGCAAGTTGAACTAAGTCTAAGCTGACACTCTAATGCAGTGCTAAGGGAGCGCTTCATTGTCAGAAGTGCTGTCCTTCAATTGAGACATTAAACTGTGGGCATGTCTACCTGCTCAGGCGGACATTAAGAACTTAAGCGTTACTCGAAAAGTTATTTTTTCCTGGTGTCCTGGCCAACAATCCTCCAGAGAGAATTGATAACTTCATAGTTATTTATAGTGCATAACCTGTGTGCAAATTGGCTGTTGGTTTTGCCTACAAATGCTTTACGGGAACTTTGTGAAGCATCTTTGAGACATTATAGGTCTATATTATAATTGCAAAGATTATTATTCATCTAAATCACTAGACCTTGTGACAAGCAGAATATCTTGCCTGTGCAAATGTCAAAATACTGTTAAATGTACAACATAATGAGGGCTACTTATTAGAACATCCTATTCCCAGTGGCCTTCTTTCGAGTTCCATTCCCTGATTAATTTCAGTTTTCAATCAATATCAACCCTTGTAGCAATATGACTATAATTCAAAGTAATGATCATTAAGTTTTATTAGAACAATGTCACGTCCTGTTTCCCTTGTCCCCACCATGCCAGCGTAAGACTATGCTCCTCTCACTTAATCTTGACAGTAAGACACTTTTCACATCATGCAAGCACTACTGTTACTGTCATCACTTCCTCACACACCCATTCAGCTAGTGCATCTCGGCAGTATGGTCTGAGAGCCATCTGTTCACACCTCATCTTTTTTTTTGTTCCCCTATAAGGATCCATCTTAATGTGCATAATGCTGTAAAAGTAGGAAATGTCCATAAATTCTTGAAGCCTTACTTATTAAATATTGTTTTATCGTTTATTTGATGGAAGCGGCTTGTAATATTCTGGGCTCATGGTATTCCCATTGTGGAATTGATACCACAGCTCAGGGGAAAACGACGTACAGACAACTGCAGGTGCTGAAGCTAAGTTGATTGAAAATTACATTCTCAATTTTCTTTTCCCTTCATCGAAATTTGGCCAAAGTCTGGGGAAGGCTGAGTGTCGACCAACAAGCGAGGAATTGAATGAGCAAGTTGAATGCTCAACTGCCCACAGCCAGAAATGAACCTGCTCTCAGCAAGGTCTTAAATTCATTACGTTCTCAAGAAGCAGATCTGCTTAAATTTGCACCTATAGTATAATTGGATAAATTATCACTTCATAGAGTAAAATAATTACTTTGTTTCACTGGTATAAATGTGTGAAATTACCTGATGATGATTCTGTATCAGGTAAAAACTAGGTGCAAGTTTAATATGATCTACTTTAGCAAGAGTGTCTTCTTACTTCTGTTGTGTTCTGGGAGTGAACTGCACCAGAATGGTGGCCAGCAACAATTGTGATTGATTTATTTCTGTAGACTGTATGTACTGTAGTATTGATATCATGTTGCTTGTATTTCTGTGCACATTATTGGGCAATGGTTTTACACTGCATTGTATGTCATGATTTGACCAACATTTAATTTAACATTTAATTTAAATTTAAATGTGGCGAATATTACATTCATAGGGACTGAATCTTGAGCCATTATTCCAGTGACAAAAAAAGATTATGATTGTTTGTGGGACAATCATTGGCTGCTGCGTTTCGCCTGCAAAATATACCGTCAATTCACCTTATACTGTATCCTGTGAAGTGCTTTGAGACATCTTAACCACATGATAAGACTATATTAATGCAAGGATTATTATTATTATTAAATATCGGAAGGATAAATGCCTATGGAAATGTTTACATCGACAGAGCTGTGCATTGCCCATTTTAGGTGGGAGCATATTTGTAAACAATATTTAATTGTACGATAATCTAGGAGGAGCAGGCAGGATACATACCAACAAACTTAATAATAATGATAATAGTCATTGCATTTGATTTAGTGCCTTACCACATCATCAAAAGGTATCAGAGTGCTCTGCAGGATTCTACTGTGAAGTGTAGTGACTGTAGGTGACTTCAAGACAATAATATTTCATTTAATTGGTATCTCCATAGGACAGCTTTATAATTATCACTTTGGTGAGTGTAAGGAAAGTACAGCTAAGTACAAACCTTACCTGTCCATTCAAACTGAGTATGTCTCCCCACAGCCTCACAATATAATGCAGGTTTTGTTGCTTGTGTATCCCTTCATAAGAGGCAAATTCAAATTGCTAGTAGTAAATGTGCTGAAATTCTTCTTACTTGGATTGGACTGACAAGTTGGGACAGAAATAGTGAACATGGCCTAAAGTATTGGGTGTAAAGTAGTGCTTGCTCATGTAGTGATGGATTCAGGCTGCAGGGGAGGCACTGGTACAGTCTCTTAACTATGAGTGAGGGTCACAACCTACCATCACTTGCTGTGACCTAACAGCTTTAACCTCATTATATCCACAGACTATTTTAAGATCTCTGATGTCTTTAGTGGCATTTCCAGATTAGTTTTATCCAACACGTCTTCAATCAGTGCAGTACAACTATGCTTTGCTTCATACTCAAGACTAACATATTCAAACAACCCAGGAGAATTTTCCCCCTGTAGAGTTCAAATCATATTAACATAGCAAACATTTGTCAGCCAAGCCCAGTTGGTAGCACTCCTGTCTCTGAGCCAGAATGTTGTGGGTTCAAGTCCTAACTTGGGACTCTTTAGGTCTTTGTCTAGTCTAACACTCCAGTGTCGGAGTTCCCAGATGAGACAATAAACTGAGACCCGGTTGTGTTTGCTAACAAGTATACAATCATTGCAATGAAAGGGGTGTAATGAGAGCTTTGACCTTCATGTTTGCAGTACCAAGCTCAACTACATCAAGACCGTACCCTGAAAATGCATTGAGTACTGTGAAAGGAAAAGTCACCCATAGATATGCTTCTGGAGGGAAACACTGTAATTAGGTGTGACTGATTTAGAGATGTCAGATGTGCTTGTAGGAAACTGCTGCTGACTGGCCAATTACTCTGTGGGTCCAGTGTTTCCATGGATGATGTCACCTGTTTCGGTCAATGTTATTTTTATCAATCTGCACACTCAGAATTCGGTGTAGACAATACTTTCATCGATCAATGGAAAGTGGCCATAGAGGGTCTCACACTCTTTCTCTGACTCTCCAAATAGTGTGGAGACACTCAGCAAGTGAATCAATGAATCCATACCGAAGACAAATCTAGACAAATGGCATCATCTCCTGCATTGGTTTAACTATGCCCTTTCACAAGCATTTTAAGAGGAGAGACACACGCAGCATAAAGGTTAGGGCTCGTTGTGTGAAAGTGAATAGACTTTGGTTTACTATCTTGTCCTTCATAACATAACATAACATGTAGGAGCAGGAGTAGGCTATTCGGCCCCTCAAGCCTGCCCTGCCATTCAATCATGGCTGATCTTCTAATCTAACTCCAGCTAATAACCTAACCTAACGAGATATTAAACCAAAGCCCTAGGCTGACTGTTCAGGTTGATGTTAAAGGACTTTTCAAAAAGAGAAGGGAGTTTCTTCGGGTGTACTAGCCAACAATCATTCACCTGCTGGTTCTTTGTAGTGCAAACTGTGTGCAAATTGGGAGCCACGTTTGCCAACAAGTACACAGTCACTACACTTAACAGCAATTACAGTCAAGTGCTTTGACACATTTTGATATTGTAGACACTGTATCAAATGCAAGGTTTATTGTAATTATTATTATCTCTGCATCCCTGGAACTCCAATTCATCTGCTGCAAATTCAAAATAAAGTTTCCTTATCTTCTTACTTGGAGAAAGGGTAGAACTTTATTTTTGTCAACCTGTCTGAACCAATAAATTTACTGTAGGGAGCTAAGTGCTGTAACTTAACTCTCAGAAATAAATTGGTAATGACCCTTATGCTAAAATTTTAACTGATGGAATCCAAGATGAAATTGTAAGTTGTATAATTAATTGCCAAGTTCAAGGAAACAGGGCAGTTATTAATGGTAATAGTTCCAGTGAAACTGCATCTACCAGAGAAATCAGACAGGGATTGGTCCTGGGTCTCCAACCTCCAGAATATTTTTCTTAATCTCATCTAAATTAGTATCAGTCAAATATTGCAATTTGTAGGAAAGCAGAATGTTCTGAAAAATGGGGTATTGTTTAGAGATCTACAAACCCTTACCAGTTGGGTAGAGGAATGGCAAATGCCATTTAATATCAAAAAATAAAGTGCTAAATAAGTACTAAAAACAGTAAGTGTAATGGCGCAACGTCATTAAGAATACAAAACCAACATGAAGTAGATATTAGCATACTAGTTACCGATTAATAAAAAAAATCATATTTCTATCATAGCATTTCCAAGGCAAACACAATGTTCAAATAGATTTCTGAAGGTTAAATACAAGGAAGTGATACTGACATTCTGCAGTGTTCAGTTTTTTGCAGCCATAGTTACAAAATAAGGCAGAGGCAATACAAACATTCCAAAGAACAGTGAGGAGGATGTAAGCCACTTATAGTGAATTTGTTGGTGTGCCTGATCTGGTTGCTACAAACAAACAATAGGTGGCATGGCAGAAACCTTCTTCTTGCTCTCTAATCTCTGATGTCCTGCTCCATAACAACAGATCTATCACTAATAATAGTGCTGATTGTTTTCATCAGGACATTTGAAAAGTTCAGTTGCGGAAACTGGAAATTCAATTTAGAGCATTAAACTTCTAGGAAAAAGTAGTGGAACATGAAGATCCTTTTATTCCCATTGGAGAAGATCACTTACAAATAACAGTCACTACACCCAGTAAAATCTTGTGAAGTGCTTTGAGATGTCTTGATAATGTAATAAGGTGCTATATCAAATGCAAGGATTATATGATTACAAAATGGAGGGTTGTGGTTTGGGAGGCTTTGTGCAAAACAATGGATCTTGTTTCAGTTAGTTTGGTTTGGGAAGATAGGGATTTCTGATTTACACAATTTTCCAGACAAACAATGTCTGCTATAAATGGAGAGCACTGTCCAAGTTTTAATGGCTTCAACTAGAAAGAGAGAGAGTGAAGGAGTTAAATTTAGCCAGAAAGAGCTAATGAAGGAGTTATATCTGTTTTGACTGTTAAAAATGTGGTAAAGTGAATGTGAATGATCTATATTTAAAATCATGAAGGAAACTTATGGGGTGAAAATGGAACTTCTTCAGAAACCAGGAGATGGAAACTATGGAACAACCACAGGTAGCAAAACTGAGAGTTAACCAAAACATAATGTTTTCTATTCTAATATCAATTTTAGACTATCATTTATACGGGAAAATTATTATAATCATATATTAAAAATAATACATAACTCCATATTTAACTTAGTTTTAAGTGAAAGTATAGTTTTCCTCAAGCCTGAAGAACACCATTGTTGCTCTACCTCTTTTTTTTTCTGTCCATTTTATCCTCCCATTCCTCCTCTCTTGAAGACATTTAATTCCTTTTAATTGAGATACAGTTCTGCAGACACTGGGTACCTTTCAGTACCTCATCTGTGTGGCCATTATTAATGTGTGACAGTGAATGGTACCAAGCAACGTATTAGTAGAGGGCAACAACCTAGCCCAATGCTGACCTCATCCAAATTCCACACACACTCATCACACTCATCTTCCAGCAAATCCCTGGATAATGATCAGGAGTGGAAACCATGGCTTATTTTTCCTCTCAAGATGATGGGTTAACTGTAGTGTCTCAACTCCTGGCCTGACTGAGATCAGCTAACTTAGCACAGAACAGCATTTGATCCTGCACCCTACTTGCACTCTATGGCTTTATGTTACATTGTTGTTTCCCACTCAACACTGGGGCAAGCTTCCATCTTTAAAGTGTGTGAACATGGGGAAAGGAGACAATTAAATAAATCCTTAGACATGCAGAGCCAAGACTCTTTGCAATGAAATCTGGATGTGGGCTAATGATCATCAAACAATTGTGAAAGCAATCATTTGGAAATGACTTCATGCAGTTGACCTATTCTTGTAAGACTAAAATTACTTACTTTATATATAGCTTATCACGAAAAGAATTCGACCTCTCATCCCTGATGATTTAGTTTGCATATATCTTTGTAAAAACTGGTTCCATTCTCTACGGTATTAATTTGCTAGATGAAGGATTTTTTGACAATCTACAGACTCAATCCAAGGATCTTTGAATTACAAAACATCTAAATTAGTCATACGTTCTGTAGAATTTGTGGTATAAAGTCTAGATGTCGGCTAATGACACAAAAACATCCTTACAATTGTGAAAGTAATTAATTGTCAATGTGGTATGCGATTTGGGATGTCCTCCCGATGTGAGAGGCACTATACAAATGTAATTTGTTGTTTGTTGTTGGTATGGATGCATTTAATGATTCTAGTTTTGTATTTGCAAGATTTTATGAATCCCCCTTTCTTAAACTATGTCTGAATAATTCCAACAATACTTCTGTAATCCCAAATTTTACCTCTATAATCCCAAAGCACCATTGTTTTAATATAATAATAATAATCCTTGCATCTGATATAGCACCTTATCACGTCTTCGAGATGCCTCAAAGCAAATCACAGAATGTATGTAAAGTTAATTGACTATACGTTTTGTGGGCAAAATGCGGCAGCCAATTGTGCACAGCAGTGTCCCACAAACAGTCATGGATTGAGTGATCAATTCACAATTTATTGTTCACTTCACTTGCCACAAATCTATTGGGTTTATCACCAATGACAATGAGAGAGATAAGTGAATGTCTCCGGAATTCTCCAATGCTTTAACAATTCCAGAATGCAAATGATTTCTCACCCAATTTCTTGGCTAATTTTGCATCTTTCTTCTCATCTACGAGACCAAATCCAACGTCTTTTTCCTGCAAGACTTGAGCTGCCATCTGCATTCAAGGTGAAAGAGAAAGGATGGTTAGCATTCATCCCTTTAACAAGTGGTCAGACAAATGCCTCTGGAAACTACAACACAAACACTGCAGTAGTCTGAATGAGTCTGCCACCAATGATAATAATAAGAATTCTTGCATATGATATATTGCCTTATCACGTCATTCAGACATCTCAAAGTGCTTCACAGTATATATTGTAAAGTAATGGTTGGATAGAGTTACTAAATTATTATTACTTTTTATTACCATGGAAAGTGACCACCAATCGACTAACAACTGTAAATTACATATTGTTGTGCTTTTATTTGCACCCTGTTAATTTTTTGTTGAATTATTACCAGTCAATATATCACTGAATATATGAATTTACATTTAATCTCTCGAAACAACGTTTTGCATGTCTAATTTCCATCGAGCTGTCATCTTTTACATTACTGAATGCAGTCTCTGGTTATACTGTGACTGTCTGAAACTGAGTGTCCCTCACCTCTAATACGAGTTCCACCAGGTCAAACCGTTTCTGAGCAACTTTGTCTCCAGCAGGGATGGCCTCATGATACAAGAGGCATAATACATCAAACTTTTTCATAACCTTCTGGTAGTTTTTCATGTCGATATCGATAACTCTGTCCTTCCCATCGTACCTTGGGATTTCTAATCCTTTCTCTGCACGACAGCAGGTGCAAGTGAGACAAAAGGTCACCAAATAGAGCCAGCCAACACTCATGGCAAGAGTTAGATTATTATTGTTCTTTTCTTAAAAGATGACAGAAGAGCCAGTAGAGAGATCAGACAAGTACTCTTGCGCTTCTCTTTCAGCACTGATCACTGCTGCTAGTCAGCGACAGAAAGCAGAGTCAGAACAGTCCTGGGAGAGAATAGATGTAGGCAGAGCCCAGATACTTGGCATATCTCTCTGTTGCTCCCCTGCCATTTCAAACTCCATTTTAAGAAACCAGTTGTTTCCAGCTAAAAATACACTGAATTGGGAGAGCAAACGCACGATCTGAGAGGGGATTCACCATCCTCATTATGATGGGCTTTCCATTGGGAGGGTGGATGTCAGGGGGTGGGGGGAGAGAGACTGTAAACTATTCCTTGATGCCAGCAGCAGTTCTAAATTGTTTAAGACCACACGTCACTCGCTTTGACATTAATTTTAGCTTCTATCCTCCAACTGAACAATCGTTCTCCAGCACAGATTACGTTTCCACCTTGCCATATTGACGCTGTTTAGAAAAGGTCAAGAGAGGAAAATTTTCACAAGTAGGCAGAATGAATTATTATACAATATTTGTTTTATATATAGATCGTTGGGACTCCAGCCAGGGACTGGGACTAGGATAAATAATAAATAATAATGACCCCAAAGCGATCTGGCCTGAAAAGTATTGTGCCTTTTTATTTGTTAAAATACTTTCTTTTTCCACCATCATATAAAACAGAATTACCATTTTAATCATTTTAATTAACCATCAATAAAATAGCATGCAGTTTATCATGGAAAGTCATTTTATTTCAAGCCTGCTCTCTCGAGAGTTGTATTAATATCATTCCATGCAAATCTCCTCCAAAGCATTTAAGCGAAGTGCTGTGTATTTTAATTGAATGCACAGCAGTTTAAAATAGGACATACAAATATAATTTCTATTGCTTCACTTGCTCACTAATAATCCCCTCAAAAACAAGTAATAATAATAATTTGGTCTCTGAATCCACATTTGTCGGATATTGCTGTGCACAATTGGCTGCTGCATATATAGTCAATTCACTTTACAATATATTCTGTGAAGCATTTTGAGACGACTCGAAGTCGTGACAAGGCACTATATCAAATGCAAGGATTATTATTATTATAATTATTAGTATCACATTAAGGGTTTGCCTCTGAAATTAGTAATATTGTAAGAGATTAGTTTTACACTCAAGGGAAGATGATGTGAACATGAAAAGACTCAGCTGTTGTGTCTTACCTATACCTTTATTTACAAATCTAATTGTGTTTAAAATGTTATAAAGGTCAGAAGGGAAATTAACCCAATCTTAAATTGATTTTTTTTAAAAAAAGTAATAGTAAATAAGGAATTCAAACCCTAGACTAATTGTCCATCAGATTCAAGCCCCTATTAGGCATTCAGGGATTTGTTAAATTAGTCTAGAAAAAAAATACAATTTCAATTTTTAAGAAAAAAAATTTAATTTATTTTTTACTGTCATCAGGAAAGAAATGCATACTAGCAAAAATGGGACATAGGATCCAATAAACGCAGAAATAGTCTCTTTTCCATTAGGAATTTATAAAAAAATTTTAGATAGAATTTGTTTCTTTTAGAAAAAAATATTTTCAGACCTCAGATGATCCGGAGTTTCTTTGCTATTCTTTATGCTTTTTGTTTTCTCTAAACCTTACTGGAATTTCACACTCTTCCTATTGTCACTCCTTTGGCTTTTTCCCTTGACCTCTTATTAACAGCATTCCACAAACTGTTACTAAACCATCACCTGTCTCTTTCATTTAACCTCTTCTGGTGTGCTTTGCATTTTCTTTGTCTTCTTCCCCCTCCTGTGTCTTATATCGAGTCTTGTCCATCCACTGTTCCAGTTCTGATCAAAGGTCATGTCCAAAATCATAACTCTTTTCGCTGCTGATTGCCTTCTGTGGATTTCCAGCCTCCAGTACCTAGCAGCAAGTAGGAACCCGATTGTTAGTCGATTGGCAGATCTCTTTTCCTGGGGTAATAATCTCTTCAAGAAAATTTTTTTAAAAACATAATTTGATCCCTCAATCCACGACTGTTTGTGGGACATTGCTGTGTGCAAATTTGGCTGCCGCCACAAAATATAAGTAAAATTCCACTTCACAGTATATTCTGTGAAGCGTTTTGAAACATCTCAAAGACATGATGAGGCACTATATCAAATGCAAGGATTATTGTTACTTAATGTGTGATAAAAAGTAGAATACATGAAGAAGAGATATTCTGTATCTCCCACTCATAGCACTGGCCAGATTTCACTTGCTGAAATCAGCCTTTTCATGGGTTGTAAATCATGTCTCAAAGGTCCTCATCCTTTGCACTCAAATACGCTGGAGCATTTCTAAGATGGAAGTCATCCACATACTAATAAGACTGACCTAGATTTTTCTACATGTGGTTGTGGTGGGCTGGTATTTCAACCTGTTGTACAATTTGACCCAAGGCAATAAATCAGCTTAGTTCTACCTACCACCTGTTTAGGTTTTACAGAGGGCCTTAATTCTGAAGCCATAGTCTTAAAATTTAAGAAAGTTTAGAACTTAATAAAAATTCAGTATTCTGCAGTTCTTTTTATGAGTTTCAGCTATGACTTGCTCTGGTCGCTGATGTTAGTGATCATGCTATGGTGAGTAGCGGTGTGCTAAATAATGGAGAATGATCTTCCCTGGCATTTCTATCCTTTCAAAGTGCTCTCTGTACCCTCTGACCCACCACAGCTGATCAGCTTTAGGCCACTATGCCCTCGCTCTTTGGAACTGTTTCTCCAAACCTCCTCTCACACTCCCTCTTTTTCAGGCAATCACGTCTCTGGTGATGTATTTTTTCTGCATGGGTCATCTGGTCTAATCCCACTCTTCTTTTTCTGTATAGTGTTTTTGTAAAATGAATTAATGATGGAGGCAACTGAAGGACTGTACTGGAGTGATCTCACTACAGGAGCCTGATCAACTACAGCGGCAGGCAGACCAGTCACTGCGGACTGGGAGATGGGTGCCACTGGTCTCATTGGTTGGTTATTTCAGGTAACACTGCACATTGACACCAGTGCTTTCAAATAGACATATTTACACTCATTGAACTCTTATCTCCATTTATATATTTTTTGCCTACCACAAATCTTTGTTGTTCTTGGTCTAGAACCCTTACTTTAAGCACGTTTAAAAAATGGCACACTTTAATGCAATATTTAATGAAATGAGTAAAAATGGTGGAGTTGGGCAATATAACCAGTGCACAAGCTCAATATTGAAGTCAAATCAGGAGAATCTTTAATTATTAAATTTGAATGGATGCTTGGAGATGTGGGTGACAGACAGCTTTCTCAAAAGAGATGTTCTGAAGCCAGGTGGTGCATTCACTTTTTTGTTTGCAGAAGTACAGATGTACACATATCCATTGGGTTAGTGTATGTTAGAATTGACACATCCATTTATGTAAATGTGCTGTTATGGTACCCTCACACAACTTAGTTGGGCTTGTGTACGTTCAATGGAATGCAGATATGCTCTTCTATCATGTAATACAATTCATACAATAAGAGCTATGGGATCCTTAATAAGGAATCTGAATAGCACAAGTGGAGATTCCTTCTGATAACCAAAAGGTTGTTAGATTGACCTGTGAGAACTCTACTGTGTCTAATAATCCTTGCAATTAATATAGCGCCCTATCAAGACATTGAAAGGGTCTCAAAGCACTTCACATTAATTACTGTAGAATATAGTGACTGTATATTTTGAGACGTTGATTCCAACCTCCCCAATTAAACAGTGTTCAAATGTACTGAGAAATTCGAAGCATAAAATATTCTTTTTCTTCAAAGATTAAACTCAAGAATAACCAGGATGCATTTGATTGCAAAGGCATGACTCAAAGTTACACTGGAAATGATAAAATTACACTATATGCATTGCAGTTTAAAGAGATTTGCTCTTAAAACAGGCTGTACTCTAATAAGTACTGTTACAGACAGCAGACCAAATCAAACTTGTGAGCCCCTTAAGATTAATGATGCTCATGTCATGTTGAGCGTAAGTGAATTTGAAAAGCAGAAATATCAGTAAACTCAGCTGTCCCAGGCTCTTGGTGCTAAATCTTTTGATCAATTCTTTAACTTTCTGAAAATCACTCAAAGAATAAGCATTTGCAGAACGGTAATCTGTGTGGAGCAGCAGTAGTTCAGAAAAGCCATTAGATGGCAGTAGATATCATCTCTTTCTACATATAGAATAGTAGGAACTTAAAAATAATGCTGCTGGCATTCTGATACCAGGAAAAAAGACGTAATAGGGTTCAGATTGCTAGATGCTCAAAAGTATTAATACAGTAGAGCCCCGTTATAATGTGTGTTGTGATACATCCATCGGGTTCACTTAGAATGCTGGTGCCCTGTGCATCAGTTGCTGTCAATAGGCTGCCACATTCGCCTACAAAATGCGCAATTATCATAATAATAATCTTTGCCTTTGATATAGCACCTTATCATGTATTCGAGGTGTCTCAAAGCGCTTCACAGAATCCCCTGTAAAGTGAATTGACTGAATACATTTTGTGGGCAAAACGTGGCAACCAATTGGCCATAGCAGTGTCCCACAGTCGTGGATTGAAGTGATCAAATTATTATTGCTATTTTTTTCACAACCGTTACACTCCACAGTAAATCCTGTGAAGCCCTTTGCGACATTTCAACAATGCGATAAGACGCTATATCAAACGCAAGTTTTTTTTAATATTGTTCCAAAACTAGATAATTACAGTATCCAGTTTTGATTGAAGGAAGTAATTGACACAGTTTTGTTGGACATCTACTCCAGATATCCACAACTCTGTGGGGAAATAAATCTTCTAATCCTAAAGTCATTTGAGACCTCTTACTTTTAAACCGATGCCCTCTAGTTCTTCTCTCATGGTCTAAGGCTTGCATCATTTACATCATCTATATCTCTCAGCATTTTAGATCTGGATCATGTCAATGAAACAACATCAGATATGCTGAAATATCCACTTGATTATTCATCAAATATCGACTGTAGCGATCTTGTCAAACACCTCCAGAAGCAATGTATTCATACTGAATATGTTGCTTTATTTTGCTTTTTACATTTGTCAAATTCAATGG